GTAAGAGTTGTCAAGAAGGAAGGCCGGGAGCTAAAGAAGTGCCATTATACAATTGGAACATTCCTACCCGACCTTGGGAACGATTACACATTGATTTGACAGGCCCCGTATCTGGAAAATATTGGTTAATTTGCGTAGACGCTTTTACCAAATGGGTTGAAGTTGCAATTTTAACACATATTAATTCGGCGAGTTTAATAAATAATCTGCGTAATTATTTCGCTAGATTTGGGTTACCTCGCTACATTGTCTCAGATAACGGTACTCAGTTTACTGGATCTGAATTCAAAACGTTTCTTTTTAAAAACAATATAAAACATTTTAGATCGGCCCCTTATAGCCCCAAATCGAATGGTTTGGCTGAACGATATATAAAGACGATAAAGACACGTTTCTATGCTGGAAGGAGATGCGGGACTCCGGACCAGTTAAATTTAGCAAATGTTTTAATTACTCACCATAATACTCCCAATGCAACTACTGGTAAATCTCCTGCCGAGATGATGTTTGGAAGGTCGCTTAGGACGACATTGGATCAGTGGAAATTATCAACGAGAGAAAGGACGGAAAACGCTCTATGGAAATAAAAGTACTACAAAGATAGAAGTGTTGAACCTCGGGAGTTTGTAGAGCAAAAAGTTTGGATAGCAAACGAAAGGACAGCAGGGTGGCATGAAGAAAAAGTGTTATAACGAAAAAGCGCAATATTGTACGATGTGGAATCAGAGGGAATCGTTAAAAACAAGCATGCAGATCAATTGAGGGATGCACATACACAAGAGAAGGAAATACCCGTTACGTTGACCGAAGAAGTGGAAAAGGCAGAACATGAGAATACAACTCTTGAAAAAAGAGTTTCGAAACTCCCATTACGTTATCACGATGAATTCAATTTATAGTGGGGAGAACTGTAATATAAATTGAATTTAAATTGAATATAATATTAACTTTTCGTTTGTAAATTATATAACCTGAAGTATTGAATTCATAATATATATATACGTGGTATTTTGTATTAAATATACTTTTACTTACTTTTATTTAATAAAACACTTCAATTCCCAAATTTTCCAGTAAGTTAATTTTATATTTTAAATATATTAATATTTAATTTAATATTTTAAATATATTTATAGTTAATTTAATATATATTTTTAATGTAAGTTATTTTAATATTGATTCCCAAAATTTTTTCAATTGATTCCCAAAATTTTTCCAATTGATTCCCAAAATTTCCAGTATGTTAATTTTATATTTTAAATATATTAATATTTAATTTTAAATATATTAATATTTAATTTTAAATTTTAAATATATTTATAGTTAATTTAATATATATTTTTAATATAATGTAAGTTATTTTAATATTGATTCCCAAAATTTTTCCAATTGATTCCCCAAATTTCCAGTAAGTTAATTTTATATTTAAAATATATTAATATTTAATTTAAAATTTAAAATATATTTATAGTTAATTTAATATATATTTTTAATACAATGTAAGTTATTTTAATATTGATTCCCAAAATTTTTCCAATTGATTTCCCAAATTTCCAGTAAGTTTATTTTATGTTTTAAATATATTAATATTTAATTTTATGTTTTAAATACATTAATATTTAATTTAATATTTTAAATATATTTATAGTTAATTTAATATATATTTTTAATATAATGTAATTATTTTGATATTGATTCCCAAAATTTTTTCAATTGATTCCCAAATTTTTCCAATAGATTCCCCAAATTTCCTGTAAGTTAATTTAATATTTTAAATATATTACTAGTTAATTTAATATTTTAAATATATTTATAGTTAATTTAATATATATATTTAATATATTGTTAGTTAATTGAAGTAACTATGAAGATTCAAGAGGTTAGAGAGAAATCACAACAAATATCAAAGCTTATAAATTTAGAAATTAAAGTATATATTATTTAATTTACATATATTAATTTATATTTTTTGTTATATAAACTTTATCATTGATTCGTCACTGTTATTTTATTTATATAGTTAACATGCATTAAACCTCCTTTTCATTTTTAATAGTCATATTTATATATCGCAATACAAATGTTTAATTATTATAATCGCGATTGGAACAATAATATTTTTAATATAGTTTACAATAGATTAAAATTTTATATATGACATAAATAAGAAATGATTCCCTAAAATTATTATTCCTATTTTATGGAGTGTGCCACATAAACAATAGAAATAGTTTTAAAAGTCAGACTTTAGAATAGTTATAAAGACGACCATTATATGATAGAGTTAAGAAATTCAACTATAAAATAGGATTTACAATTATTATTATAATTGTAACAATATCGGAAAATAGGTAAGTAAAAACTTATGAACTAATATTATTTCGGGATATATCTTTTTAAATATTAGGTAAATTTAATTTAATGAGAAAGTAATATATTGCTTATTCAGAGTTGGGCAGTACCGCAAATACTTGTATCTAAGATACAAGAACCTTTGCATCTTGTATTCAGTATCTTTTTGACATTTTTAATAAGATAGAAGTGTCTCTATCTAAGATCCTTTATTCTGAAGTGAATCTTATATCATTTTCTTGATAAAAGATACAGATACAGATTCTTTTTAATATTCATGTTTAAAATTTTACATATCACAGTATACATCCTATTTTCTTCCAGAATCTTGTATTAATTTCCTTATTTTTTTCCGCCATATCGATAGATAAAAAAAATAACAACATCAAAACGAAATAAGCAAAGATTATATTTTATATATAAATGTAACTCGATATTATATTTTCATGGTAGCGAAGAAGAAAGTAGTGAAATTTAAATTAAATAAGTTCTCTTGAATCAAATTCCAATCTTTAAATTTTATATGGAAAATTTTTAAAAATAAAAGTTAAAAAATAAAATAAAATAAAATACACAGACTAGATGTAAAACCTGTATCTTCCAAATGATAAAGGGTTAAACACATATTTTGTTAATTGTATTTAAGTATCTTTATCTTGTATCTTTTTGATATTTTGAAAAAGATACTAGTATCTGTATCTAAAATTCATTTTTTCACAAAGAATCTATATCTGTATCTAGATTCTTTTTCCGTAGGACCTGCCCAACTCTGTGCTTATTCTATAAACTAAAAAGTCGACTAAAAGGTCAACATTTCCTTTGGTTCACAAAGAATAGATTTTATGGTTAGCTTACTCAATGTTATTAAAGAAATATTAGGGAAATTTCAAATAATCACACTAAAAATAAATAAATAAATTCGATAAGATATTATATATTTTATAGTGATGTAAATAATGTATAATATTTAAGGATCTTTACTTTAGGTATCTGTTATAATATTCATTATAATTTAATAATGAAATACAACAGTCATAAAACGATAAATTTTGAACAGGATAATATCGTTCACATTATATTCCACTTGAGCCATGGTAATGTTAATTCTTCGGATTCTGAGCTTAAAGATATACTTCAAATATTTTATAGAAGTTTGATTGTATTCATTAAAAATTCATATAAATAACCTAATATATATTGTATTATTACAAATGAGTTATCAAATTTATTTTAATTCATATTATACTTTATTATGCAAAAAAATAGATTGCTTTTTTATATATTTTTATTATGATATTTGATATAAATTTTATTAATATTATATCAAAGATATATATAATACATTTGTGCCCACTCTTATATATTATATTTAAGAGTTTGCCTAAATATTGTAAATTACCTGCAATTTATTTTTAGTATATACTCTTTTTGTAATAATATAAATATTAATTACTATTTAGCAATTTTTATTTATATTTAAATTTAATTTAAAATAAAAAGCATTTTTAAATCTATTTGTCTATAATTTAAAATAAAAAGCATTTTTAAATCTATTTGTCTAATATGTTGCAATGTTTCGAAATTATATATCTATATTTATATTTGATTTTAAATTTCCGGTGGAAAATTTGAAGTGATAGAACGTTACGTTTCAAACATATGAATGGAAAAAATATATTGAGTATGAATATGGAAATTATCTTCAAGGATGGATATAAACTGATAAGTGATTGTATTTGTACTTTGTATTTTATTTAATCATATATTTCTTATTTTAGGTTTTAAATTTTATTTTAGGTTTTAAATATTATTTATAGAGTACCTTCCCCGTCCCTTTTTTAAAATAAATAGGGCCGTAGGTTTTGGGTGTGGGCTGTTCTCTTGGTCCTTTCTATCTGTTTCCAGCCCACAGACGTTTAAATAATAGTTTATGAACTATTATGCGTACAAGTACGTGCGGCTTGCCCACAAACGTGTGAAGGGCTCCTCATATTTTACTTATACCTAACTTAAATCTTCCAATTAGATGGAAATGAGGAAAACCTAGCGTAGCTCTGTTGTACCTACAACGTTGAGAGGGCGTATGCGCTTTATTCCGTAAATACTATAATCGCTTCAAATATATTTGTGGCCATTTTAGGTTATTTGAGTTTTTCCATAAATGTTCATACGAAGAGGTTGACCCTAACCTATTAAAATTTACGTGATACGTGATATTAAGCGCACTAACCCTAAAATGTCATATATAAGAGCAACGCTTGGTTCTCTCATAAGAGCCCATCTAACTGGGATAAAAGAATGGGAAATAAATAAATAAGAGGACCATCCACGTTTTTTGGGCAGGACGCAGTTACCTGTGCGCGCAAGAGGCAAAGCCCCTTACTTAAACGCCCATGGGAAAATAAAAATTGAGATAAAAAGCCCATGCCCGATTAAATAAAAAATTTGAATATGGGAGGGATATATTGGCTATATTAATTTTAATTTTACCATTAATTAGAATGTGAGCAAACCTAGAAATAAACATGATTAAATAAAATAAATACCAGTACAAATACAGTACTATCACTTTCTTCCAAAAAATTTTGCACCGGATGTTTGCAAATTGATTTCTAATTTTTTTCGCATATGTTAGCCGAACAATGAGCATGTTTAAAAATGAAGGCATCCTAAAATATTATCAGCTGTTTAAATTTTAAATGATAAAGATAGAAATGCACATTGAATATGTTGTGAAATTGAAAGATCTAATTCTTAATGATGAAGACATACTATTCGTTTGCGGTAACTGTAAAGAATTGGGATATTGGGACCCTTCAAACGCTTATAAATTAAATAAAAAATATAATAATCAAGGGTACTTTAGCTTTTTTTCACATCCAACATTTCTTTATTCATAGAATTGAACAATGGTCAGGAAAAATTAATATCCTTATTAAGGATACTATTCAATATCGATACTTTGTTGCTTCCCTAGTAACCAGTGCTGATATCAAGGAGAACAATTTTATCATTAAATATTGGGAAAATGGATCCATTTCAAGAGTATATGACCCAAATAGCAACATAAGAATAATAAATGATGTTTTTGGATTTTGCAGTTTGTATGAATTTATATATTTTTATTTTATATTTGTAAAGATGGTGAAAAGATTATAGATATGGGGTGGTTATTATTAGATACACTCACACAAATCACCATTAAAAACTTGCACATTTCTGAAATTGTTGGTAATAAGTTTGAAATCTGCCCTAATTCATACTTTATTAAACTATCTCAAACAAATTTAAACAAGTATGTTTATAAATACTTATATATATATTTTATTTTATTTAAAAAGTATTGATAAAGGGATAATAAATGATCATAATATACTAATACAGGTTTAATAAATATTATTTAAATGCTATATTTTAATATATAACTATTTCTTTTATGTTTTTATATAAATATGGATTTTTCAAAATATTATTCTACAAATTTGATACCTTTTAGTTTTACTATTTCTATTTCAGAATCCTGTCAATAGGGTTGGCTTACAATACAGTATTGATTTTCTATTGGGTTTAAAAAGTATTTTCCATAGATTATATTGGCATTGATTTATATTAATATTCGTTTTAATTATTATCTAACTATACAACTTAGAGAAGAATAATAATCATCATTTTGTTATTATAAAAACTCTTGAATATGTTTAAAATAAAAATCACAATTGTCAAAAAATATGTATATAGATGATTTTCGTTGTTCTTTAGAAAAGCTTTCAAAGTCAATAATTTTTAAACTTTGATTCTCTATATCTCTGGTTTTAATTATGATATCCTAATTAAATAATTGATATATATTTCTATAAATAAAAGAAATATTTTGATGAGAGTTGCTAATCTTATAATAAATGTAGATAAAAGATAAGCTATCATTTAATCTTTCTAACAGAGTGGCAAACCTTATGATATATAAACTTGATTAAGTTAAGCTTACATAAATAGAATACTTTAAAGGATTAGGTTTGGCTCAGGTTATGGAATTAAATCTTATAAATGTACTTTTTAAAAAACAATAATGGAGGTTCAGTAAATTTTTTTACAGGCTTCTCTATATAGCTCTATATTTTATAAGTTCTTATAATTTGGTTGGACACTCTGCTTCCTAAGGTAATAATTAAATAATTATTGCACCAATATTTTGAGGTGAAGTCAAAACACAAATATTTAACTTGTTAAATTCAATATATAAGAAAATATTTTGTGTTGGGCCTCATTAGTCAGGAGCAGCGTCTACATGAGCAGGGAGAGGGGGATGGGGTAGGAACAGTTTGCATTCAATTTTTCTTGAGGGAGGTAGAGGGTTGGATAAATTTTTTGAAAGATTATTTATTAAATTTTGAGATGAAATAGGACAAAAATATTGCTATAAAAATTGATAATTTTATCATAGACTTATTATAATACAATGATATTACAAATCATTGATCAAATCTATATATTACATACAATCATAGACATTATTTCACAAATAAAACATTTATAAGTTTTGACATTCTCAGCAAGCTCCTAATGCTATAATAATGACTTCATTGTAAATGAGGGGAATTTTAATTAAATTCATTAATAAAAAAGAACTCCTTTATATTCATAAAATTTTAATAGTTGTTAGTAGAGAGAAAATAATTTAAGTTATTCTTTTTAAAATTTGAAAGGAGTATCATTATAATTAAAAATAATTAATTATGGAAAAACATTGTCGCCGAAGGTAGCGATAATTTTTTAGGGGGGTGGGGGGTTGCACCCAGAAAGCCTGTCATGTAGACGCTGGTTGCCAGTCTTTCCTCATCAGCAGAAGTCTCCTGCAAGTTTTTTTTCAATATTTACATACCCTTCTCCCACAAAACTCCAGCCAATTTTAAATTTACTCACATATTTAAATTTTATCTTTTTTAAATAATAATTTTTAGGAACAATATTTGTTTAATTTTTATATTTTATAATTAAATTTTAAAATAAATAATAAACATATCTTGTAAATAAATATTTTCTCAAAATCTTCACCTAAAATAAAAAATTTCAAAATCATCCCTCTTCCTTTATGAGGTTAATTTTTGATAAACATATTTTATACACAACATAAGCATTACATTTCATCCTACCTGGGGGTGAAGCAAAAATCTTATGTTTAAATTCAAGTTTTATCATACATAAATTATTACAATTTTCTATATTTTTTTTAAAAAAGATATAATATTTTATCTTATTATTGGAAAAAATTAACTATTTTTGGTATAAATTTATATATTTTTTTAAAAAATTTTACCTTGGAAAATAAAGATGGCCTATAAAATTAATAATTTAAAAAATTTCACCCGCAATTTGAAAATTTTGACCTGGCAACCTTGTTTTTATAAACGCACATCATTCAAGCGATGCGATCGACATCGGAAATATCTTTAGCAGTATGCTATATTTATTAGAGACCTGCAAAAGTACAATTTGCATGGCCTGCTCCAAATTTTTTTTTTAATTTGGGCTCGGCCCGAGTTTTATATAAAAAAAATTTTGGCCTCTGATTACTTAAAATTATATTTTATTTATTTTTAATTTTTATAGCTGATAATGGCGAGTTAAAATATTTCGGTTTAAAATATACGGCCCAGCTCGGGTACCTTAAAAAATTTTTTTGGCCTGGCCCGGATATATTTAAAAAAATTGAAATACCGCCTGGCCCCCTGCATGTCTCATATATTTATAGTAACGCACATCACATAAGTTGAGTAATGCGTGCTTACTATAAACGTGACCATATCCATGAATAGCCAAAATTTGCTAAGGAAATCTTAAAATTTAAAGTATTGTAATAATTTTTGAATAATTATTGTTATTGCTTTTAACTAAATATATTACTTTGGATTGATTTATCAGTTTATGATATTGGTAATAAGTGATAGAGTTGCCAGCCCTACTTGCAGATCTAAATCAAAACCTTGCCCATTAATTTTTTTAAGAATAGGCCAGGCCTAAAATATTTATTTAAATCAGAGCATATCAATTAATAAGTTGAAAATACATTAATGGATTTTTTAATATTCATTTATTCCACATATTTTCAATTTCCCTTTGAAACTATTTATCCAAATTATTTAAAACAACAAAATTTTAAAAATTCAGAGACAAGTTATAAAAAATATTTAACCTAATTTTAAATTTTAAAAGCCAACTATAAATTAATTATTATTAAAAATTATAAAGATGAGATAATATATTAAAGAAGTTATTTAATTAAAAAACAATTATCAAATTATAAGTGTTAAAAATTATTATCTTTCTGGATGAAGCTGCCTATATAGCTTATGTAATTAGCATTTTTAATAGATGGCTAGCCTCTACCTCAAGAATAAGCCTTCACGGGGTTCATCAGTTTATGTATGTCGGAACCTATTTCCTTAAAAAGTGATTTTAAAAAATTTGAACAGGCTTAAAAAATTAATCTCTTTTTTTCAAATCCAGGCTGCTGAATATTTATTAAAAAAGCATAATATAGTTATATTAATATTTTAAAATGGCTAATTATTCTTATAAAGTAATTCTATAATTTATATAAAGATTATATAAATTCAAATGTTTTTGGCTTCTTTTGATAAACCAGGTGTTGAATTTTATTTTCAATAGGTTTAAGTTCAACTCTGAGATTTCAATGAGTTTAAGGTTTAGTTATATCAAATTTAGAAATAATTTGAAATTTTTAACAATTTATTTATATTATTTGTTTATTATTTATATCAGAGACCTGCACAGGTCAAATGGAATTTGTAAAATTGTTATTTAAATAATTTTTCAAATTATTTCAAAGTAAAATTGAAAATATGAGCAGTATATCTGTATAAAAGGCTTTATTTTATGATTTTTCAACTTGATTAATTGGTATAATTTTAATATTTTTTTATAAATCGGTCCCACATGGATTTTTAATTTTTTTTTAGCCCGTTGTAACGTTATGAGGTGAATATATTATTGTAATACCAATTATTAGGTAAATACTGTAAATAATCAAGCATTAGTACATGTTTTTCATTTACGCATTTATTTTTTTATTGTTGAGCAATAGTGATTGAAAATTGGATTTCATTTAAATCATCAAAATTGTCTGCCTTTAATATTTACTTAAAATATCCTAGTAATAAAATAAAATCTATAAAACCACAATTTATAATATAAATTTTTAATAAATGGCAGGGAATTCGAATATCCTGATTTAAATAAGGAAAATTATCCGCTATTAATTTAAAATTACCCAATATTCCTTTTAGGGAAATGAAGAATATTATAAACATGGCCTGGCTGCCAATATATTCGATACACCGGCTTCGATTTTTTAAATTATAAATTCTCGACTGTGATTGATTATTTTTTTAAATCTTCTTTAATAAATAATAGTCATTATAGTGGTAATTAGCATGCATAAAAATATAAATAACTTCAATTGCTTATTCAAGCAATCGTTTAGAGTTTTATAACTAACTAATAATGTTGGTAAATAGCTCGATTTGAGCCAACTTTAAAAAATGGCTAACACAATATTTTAGCCCGAAAGATATCACATAAGTCACGAAATTTCGTTAATAGATGTCCAAACCTTTGTGCCATCTATGAGAAAAATCTGGCTTGCGTAATATATTTTTAGATAAAATATTAAGTTATCCATTTTTAAAAATGCCTCAAAATGAGCCGTTTAACAACACTATTAACTAATACATTTATCAAATAAATATTATTTATTGTATTAAACATAAATTAGTTAATGAAAAAAAAATTTATAAATAGAAATTTTATTTCTATAAATTTCTTAATAAAAATAATGTCTAAATTACTGTACCCTGCCCGGTCAAAAAGATTTTCGGACCAAACCTAATTTAATTACAAATCGGACTTGACCGAAGTTTTGAAAATGTAAAGCTTATAATTAGTCAAATTTGTGTTGTTGGCTAAAAAATTTGTAAATAATTTGATTGGGCTAGGATGAGATATATATACAAAATTTATAATATATTTTAAAATTATTTAGTGTTAAATTACATAACTTATTCATATATTTTTAAATTATTTGTTATCAAATTACATAACTTATTAATATATTTTAAAATTATTTAGTGTTAAATTACATTACTTAACTTATTCATGTATTTTAATAGAAAAAAATTTTAAATGTAACTTATTTTAAGAGTTCTAACGAACATAAAGTACTTAATATTTTGCTCTTATGCACAAATATGCTTACTAACTAGCGGAAAACGCTAAATTTAAATATCTTTTTTCGGGATCAACCCTTGCGATAAACATTAATTTGAATATTGTATATGAAATATGATTTTAATCTAGTCGCTCGACCAAAATGAGACACATAATATTAAACAATCCAAATATGGGAAGCATTACAACAACGGACAATATTTCACTTACCAGATCAGATCTTTTCCATACTTAAAAAAGAATGTATGTAAATTATATGATTGTAATAATTTTTATTATATTTTATAACACTTATAAATACAATTAAGTACCTAACCTTTACCATCTACAACATTCCTAAACACCATACGGATTTGATATCCAATGATTTGTATCAAGTGGCTATTTCCACTCCTTTCGATATAGATTCATATCATTCAATTTACCCAATAACTAATAATGCCCACACAATCCAATCAGGAAGTAAACAGACAATTTTTGATACAGAAAATTGCCCTTCTCGTGGCAGCAAAAAGTTGTTACTTTACGAATCAGATTGTCTTAACAGAAGTTCGAAAAAAGGGGATGATCTAAATGGTGTATCAAAAATATTATCTTCCGTCATTGGATACATTGAATGTATTATTTATTTATTACCCATTATTAATTCTTATGAATAAGTTGGTACAGATTTTCTGATGCCCTATACTTTACTCTATTTTCAAATAGATAATTTCAAAATAGTTCCAATTTTCATAGGTTAAAACCTAGTGATGTAGACTAGCCCCCCCCCCCAATAGATATGGTTAAGCAAAATTGTTGTTTTCAAAATACAATATTGATATCTAGACAGAAATAAGCTTTTATTCCATTTATATTGATAACCCCCCCTTATAGGTATGCACGGGCTGTCCGTAGCTCGATCTAAGCTCGGGTTCGAACATAAAAATTTATTTTGGGGTTCGAGTCGGGTTGTAAGAGATGTCCGACCCGAAATCCGACCCTAACCATAAAAAAATATAATATCCTAAATATTCTTTTTAATGCATAATGTCAATTAGATTAACATGTCATTTTCAATTATTATTTTAGATAACTTCTGTTTGCCACTATTTTGTTATTATATTTTTGTGTTATTATTACATATTTTATTTACATCATATTCTATCAGGTTAATTAAAAAATATATAGCTAATATCTATGTAATTAAATAGACTCAAATTTTTTAATATTTAAAATTGTTTACCAAATCTTAAATTGGTGGTAGACTTTTCAAAACGACTCATTTTAAGTGTTTTGGCTCTTAAATTTCTGTATCCCTGCTTCCTCTGCTAGCAGTGAAAGAGGACTTTTAGCGGTTGGTAGGGCCTTTGAAGATGGAAGGACTTGTTTAAAGCCTGACATGACTCTTCATTATTATCATAATTATTCACTATATGATACTATTGATAATGATATTTATATATCATTATAATATGTTCATTATATCATGCACATTATTTTTATATAATCACAATAATTTTTAAATTCGATTGTATTTCAAATTTTTTAATATTTAAACTGAATAAAAGGTATATATTTTCATTTTATATGAAATGCAACTTAATATAAATATTGATTATACTGTGGCTGTCAAATAAACTTTTATTTAAGGTAATGCACATAATTTTTAATTGTTTTTTGGATATTATAATATTCACACTCAAATTTAAAAAAATTTAGTCGGGTTCGGATGTGGTTGAAAAATTTTATTTTAATTCGGGCTCGGATCGAGTTCGGACAATAAAAAATTATAATTCGGGCTCTGGTTGTGAAAAAATTACCAGACCTCTACCCCTTCCTTCCTCCCTATTTAATTTTATAAAAGAATCTAAATATTTATTCTTCTATTTTAAAAAGTGCGTGAAAAATATCTTAAAGAATAAACATTACTATAAAAACATTTCACTTTATAATCAAATTTTCCAATAAAAGGTGCCTGAAATTTACGAATAAATAATACCAAACATTTCATGTTATAATCTAATTTTCATATAAAAAATTTGTTAAAAATTATAAAAAGCGGGGGAAGGGGGCTTTCCAAAGGCGCTATAATTCGCATGGGATGGATCAACGTTTGACCTTTTCTATTTTTAATTGTAAAAGTGCACTTACTATTACTAAACAAGATTAAAAAATCAGCTATCATGAAATATCGCCATGACCAATCGATCTTCTTTTGGTATCACATTTTCCATAGATGCCACAAATCTATTTGACTATTTTTATGCTACCGTTATTAAATTATAAGAATGAGGCTACAGCCAGAGGCATCGAGTTTCGTATTATGAAATATGATAAAAGTTAATCTATTATATGATGATAGTAATTTTTCTAGATATTTCGTTTGTTTAATTTTTTTTCAAATATAATTAATTGAGAGTTTTTAGATTCTTCGTTCTGTTAAGTCCTGATATGAATTTCAGTAATTTTCATATTCTAATAAATTTTATTTATTCTGTTTACCAAACGGATTGAAGATAAAATAAAATGTATACTATTTAAGTATTACAGAGTGGCTTAAGACTTAGAATTATAACTTTCAAAAGTTTGGCAAACTTCATGCCTAGGACTGCTAACTCGATTCAAAATTTTAACTATTTTACTTCAATATATATTTAATACAGTAAAGGACAAATGATATCTATAAAGATAATAATATTTTGAATCGGGAAAATTTAGGCCTAATTTGTTTTTGAATCGCATTTTAAAATACGATATTTAAAATAAAACTCAGCTTAAGGCATCATATTTTTATTTCAATTACAAATAGTTTTTATTATTGATTGGTAAAATTTTACTAACAATTCATATACTTCTTTTGCAGAAAGAAATTGGTCGATTTACGTTAACATCCTTACGAAAACAGAAATCGATTAAAGATCTTGACAACAGGATAATTTAAAAATATTTAAGAAAATGATAATATTGAATATGAATCAGAACAAGACTCTACCACATAGAGCGAAACATTATTTATTGAATGACAATGAGTTTAAAAAATATTTTAAAATGAATATTAATAGATTCATTTTACTATTATATACAAAATAAAGTTATTGTCAAAAACATTTATTTGAATTTGATGACCGGTAAAATATCGATCAATTGATTAAATCATATCTGACCGGCCACACTACCCTGGTTTCATCAGATATTAAAATAAAATTATGAATTTGAGATTTTCATTCGAATTGTGATTTTTTAAGTTTTTAGAAAGATGACAGCATTAACATATAAACACAATTTATCTAATAATTTATTTGAATAAGTATGTTTCACCTGTGAATAGGAAAAATAACCCCTGAAAAAAACTCTTGGAAAAAAAAATCGGATGCTTTTACCATTTATGTCAAAGTACCCATAGAAAAATTCAGAAGCTAGGTTTGGAAAGCCAATACAGGACCAGTGAAACTCTGTGGAATGATGGACGGCTTAGCATTTACTCCTTTATGTGATATGGGCAATGCAATGACATTCCTGAGATCGGTTACTCCGAGCAATGGTAAAGATATTCTTGATTATTTAGATAAAAATTATATCAACAGAAGCAATTCTCAATCCCAGACACGTTGAATTGTGTCTCGATTTCCTCCAGAAACTTGGAACGTGGATCAGAGCGCTATTCGACGAAGAACGAATATATAATCAATGCGAAGGTTAGAATCATCGTTTTTCTAATCTGGTTGGGAATAAACACCCATCAATCTGGAAATTGATTAAAAAATAAAATGCTCTATGGCTACCGATGAAACCAAACGTGAACGATGGCGTGTAGTTAGTTGGCCACCGAAAACAAAATCGCAGAGTTATAATATCCAGATTCGGTTAAAGAAACTTTGCGAGGAATACCGTGATGGGATGCGAAGCCTTCCAGATTTTATAAGAGTGATTTCCTTCAATATTCGATGTCAACCCATATAATTATTATTCTAAATTATTAAATTTGTATATAATCATGATATATCTTACAAAATTTTGTCAAATTTAGTCTACTTAATATCGTAATTAAGGATGGATTTGTATTTATTACTATAGCAGATAATTTTTACCAAAATAAAAAACATGGGTTATTTTACTGGGGTATTTATTTCCGGTACCAATTTGAATATCAGCATTTTATCTTGTTTAGGCATTTTTTATGGAGGGTATATGAGTAATCTTTAAATAAAGAATTAGGGCCTAAAAAATTTAGGTTATTAATAAATTATATTTTTTATAAAAAAATTTCTAAAATACTAATTCTATACCTTATAATATGAGTATATCCATTATAATCCAAATAAAAATATACCTATATTATTAGGTTTTAAGTAAATTCTATAAATATGAAAAAAAAAATCTGGGGGTTTTTTGCATAATATAATATTTAAAAAACAACTTGTTTACTTCAATCGTATAAGACGCCATTTAATCGTTAAAAAATATCAAACTAGATTGATATTTTAAAAAAAAATCGCATGCATTAAAATAACGTTTTGTTTGGAAATGGCCTTCGAACCCACTCACTATGCACCACAGGTATTATACCCTCCTCTTGCCATCTATCTAACTATATTATATTAACCTCCTATCACCACTGAAAAGGAATCCATCTCTATGATTCGGCCTATTATCTTTCTTTAAATTCATACTCACTTCAAAATCCCTCAAAGTCTCTAATCCTTCTTTAAATATTATCTTATAATCTTCCAAAATGTTCTTTATTTCCCCCTCCCCCCATTCCTTCTTCTAGCATTTGTTCGTTATTTCCACCTCATTTCCTCCTGGACTCTCCTACATTCCTTCCTATTTCTTTCTACCTCCATCTCTTTAAATATATCCCACCAATCATACAAGGGACCTACCCACCACAAATTAACCCACCCCAATATAATCTCATCCAATTCCTCAACTACAAAAAATCGAATAAAATTATTAACTCCTGGTAACTGTACCTGTAACTCTCCCCTAGAAAAAAAAATTATCTGATAAACTGAAGCACGAGAGGAGCAATATTTTAGAATTATTTTATTAAAATTAACAATTTTTACGATTAATTATGTAAATAAATATATATTTTGCGAAAATATATAATTTTGTATTAAACTAAACTTTAAGGTTAAATTTGGTATCGGCAAAAATAGTTTCGGAACAATATTCGGTTTCGGCACATCTCCGGTGAGATAAATTAATTTAGAGGCAACAGGTAGAGATTTTCCCTCTTAAAATACTACCCCTTGAAATATATATGGAGGTAATTTTTGCTCCTACTCACCCCAACATTTAGACAAGCCCATTTTCAAGAGAGAATAGAAACCTATTTTTTCTTAATTTAATATTTTTCTTTAATTCAGATCGGACTCAAACCTTATTTTAGGTCAATCCAACATTTAGACAAGCCCATTTTCAAGAGAGAATAGAAACCTATTTTTTCTTAATTTAATATTTTTCTTTAATTCAGATCGGACTCAAACCTTATTTTAGGTCAATCCTATTTCTAAAATGTAAGCTAAGATTGGACTCAGGTCTAACAAAGTATTGGTCACAAATATTATATAGGATTAGGTCGGAATTTAAAAAAAACAATTCCGATGCATTTATCTACTTTAAACCCTTAATATTTATAAAATAATTGAAATTTAAATCAATCTTTTAAGCATTAGATCATACTTATATTCTCTATTTTTAAAAATTTAGTTGAATATTTGGTCGTTAAACCAACTCTATTTATCAAAGAATTGAATCTGATGAACTCTTTCAACAAAAAACTCGACATAAATGATTTAGACGTTGGGCACAGGGGAATGGGTCAGTCTTTCAGAACAAAAAAGTAAATTTTATTTTAAAATCACTATGAATGAAACTAGTTTAATATGTATATACTATTGGGAAACACTTATTTATTTGTTCGATCCAAATTAGTCCATCGTTACCCGGATAAAAATAATCACGAGTGACTACATGATATTATGCGCACACTGTGTTAAATATATTATAGCTCAAAATAGAATAAGTAAAATTTAAACATTACAATACGTAAACATTCATTTATCTTACATGATAATTATTTTAAAATTGGAGGCAATAATAACAAACTAATCGTTTTTATACAGGTATCCAAAAATGAGTAATAAAATATATTCTAAATTAAAAATAAATAATGTACTAAAACATTTTTAGCTTAAAAATTCATTCAAATTGAAATCAAAATAATTGTGAGTTGATCAAAAATTAATCATGTCAAAAATAATAAATTTTGCATGAAACTTGTAAAATTATTAAACTCCCAAAGAAAACTAGATTAAAATATCAAACAGTTTTATTATTATTGTAGAACTGGTGAAAAGGTGGAGTCACATAAACATGTTATAAGGAGTAATAAAACAGTTTTTTTTATCAATTGCAAGAATCAGTGACTTGCAGAACTATTGATTGGATTTAAAAATGCTTCCCATTTTAAGTCGGGTCTGAATTTTTTTTATAAATCTAATTTTAGCCCTGCCCATGTTTTTTATTTTTAGGCCTGGATTTTTAATTTCGTCTTTTTAAATAATTTTGGCAGCATCATGTAAATTCTTTTGAGGGAAATTGGAGATATAAGTAGTAAATGAATGTGTAATGCTCCATTATATGATTTTCCCGAGTTTTTTTGAAAAATAAAATAGGCCTGGCCATTGTTATAATTTTTTTTAAGTCTGGCTCGCCCCTGATTTAAAACAACACCACTTTGTGGCTCGCTCCGGCAGGGTTGGGACTAAGTTAAAAAACTTTTAAAATTAGTAGAATCAAGTTACACAAATTGCTCTGTTTTTGAATATTTTTTATTAAAATATATATAAATGTTAGCGTCAAATGTATTTTTTTCCGTAAAGTTTCTAACACTTATTTTTAACTATGAAATTATTTTATAAAAAAAATTTGGCCTTGATTAGATTTTGGCAATATTTTACTTTATATCAAGTATTTTTATCTTCATTTAATAGCATGTTTATGTTTAATTATAGAACTTAATTTTTTTTAAAAAAGTCCTGCGTTATTGATGGAGAATACAATCGCTTCACTAATGTGCGCTTACGAAAAAGTATATAAAATATCCTGAAATTATTTATTATTTTTTTGTATGGGGTTCAGATGAATAAGATTTTTCAGCAATTTTATATTCAGGATAATGATTTAGTTTTAACCATGGATATATAACGAAACTTGGAGATAATTATAAAAGAGGAACGGTCATTAAGGAAGAGTTTCGAAACCAAAATAATTATGAAATTTATTTTTTTAAATATATATTGTTTTACTGCTAAACAGCTTAGCTGGTTTAAAAACTAGTTAGAGGCTTAGCTAGTTTACAAACTAGTTTGTTTTGTGAATTTTTTAAAATATTTTAAGTTTGTATATTTTTTTTTTACCTTGTATTTTTTTTCAGCCCATTTCTCTAGTTTATAAACTAGCTAAACATATAACCAGTTTGCAAATAAACTAGTTAAATTAACCAAAATCGTGAAGACAATAGAGCGAAAACTACTTCGCGAAACATATATCGAGAAAATATTATAGGGAATTTAATATCACTAGGTTAATATTCCGATAATTCAATAATGACTATTTTATTTTGAAATATTTATTTTTATGATCATATTAATTGAATAATACTTTTAAAAAAAATAGGTATAAGATCGATATGATAGAGTTTTTAATTTTCTTTTAGCCTTAATAAATTTATATAATGATTTAGGTTTATAAAATTTATCATTGGAATAAAAAAAATTTGTTATCCTGCTATGTTTTTCCTCTAAGTCTTATTTTCTAAGAATCGCGCTCAATGAACCTAGGCTTTATTTTATATTAATCATTGAGTTCATTAGTTAAACCTTGATCCTTATAGAAATTGCTATCTGGGTTGCGCCATTTTTTATTAAAGATCTTAATTTAATAATGAAAAATGTACCTAAAAAATAATTGTGTTTAAAAATTTTCAATTCGCGATTTTCGTTTGTTATGCTAAAAAATTTTCGTGATAAAGTTTTTAAAAAAATATATGTAGACTGAAAAATTGCCGTTAGTTGAAATGACTATTGGCTGAAATATAAAGTTATTTAATTTTGAATATTTATTAATTTTTTATTTTCTCCACAAGTAAGAGGGTTTGTATTAATTGATGAAGGAAAGGATTATACGCAGGTTGCATCCCAGATAAGGGATTTCCCATTGGACCAGTGGGTGCAAGTTAAGCCGTCGGGTCTGAGGCCGTTCTGTAATGAGAGGTTGGTAGGTTCAAGGATGTTGGGTATTTTAGCCTTAAAAGCGTTATGTATGATTTTATTAATTTCTTTATGCCGGAAATGGCGACCTTAGCTGCAGGTGCAGTTTAGACCGTGTCTGGCGTTAGGTTAAACGCGTAGGCTACATTGGTGGCAAGAGTGTGAATGTGTAAGTACAAACCCTCTTACTTGTGGGGAAAATAAAAAAATAAAAAAATATTTAAAATTAAATAACTTTATATTTCAGCCAATAGTCATTTCAACTAACGGCAATTTTTCACAGTCTACATATATTTTTTTTTTTATTTTTTTAGCATAACAAACGAAAATCGCGAATCCTTATTTCTTAAACAAAAATTCAATTGGAAATTTTTAAACACAATTATACTTGTGTTTTAGGTACATTTTCATTATTAAATTAAGCTCTTTTTAGAGCCTTCGATACTATTAATATATATTTTTATTAAGTAATTTTATATATTTTTACATATTTTTATATAGTTGTTTTAATATTTTAGTGTTTTATTATTAATTTTTTAAATTATACCAATATCAATATTATCAAAATAAAATTTTAAAATACATATAGATTAGTCCTATAGCAGCATATGTTATTTTTTCCCCTTAATTACACAGAATCAAAACTACTTAAATTAATTTAAGTGAATTCCTAAAAGATGATTATGCTTAGTAAAAATTTTAATTTTATCAGAATTGAATTTCTTGGAAAATATAATATATCGTTAAGAAATTTTTACAATTCTTTTATTTTTAAGTGCATAAGCTTTTTGAGTTTTAAAATTAATCATTACTCTCTGTCTTAATAACTCGGAAAATTTAATAAAAAAAATTCTAAGAAAATTTAAATCTTATATGATTTTTTAAAAATAATCTGAGATCAGTAAAAATTCTTAACTTTCAGTATTTTTTATCTTGATTGGAAAAATTTCTAAGCATTTGAGAATATTTGTTATAATTACTTTTAATGGCATAAAGCACATTTTTAAAATCTATTTTGGGTAGAGAGGGGGGGGGGTAAATTTATTGAGGTAAAAATTTGAATCAAAATTCCATGAGCGAGAGAGACCAGAAAGAAATCGGCTATATTTTCTATCACATCAGAGAAAGGTTGCATGCTTACTTAATAGACAATAAGTAACAAAATATTTTTAAAACATTTTGCGTTTATGATTTAAGGAGCTTTGGTGGGTAAATTGATATTGAATATGTTGTTTCCTTTAAATAAATGAATTTGCAATATATTTACTGTTTCGCGGTAATGATTTCGCGCAAATACATTCGCGGTAAAAAATTCTCTATAAAGGATTCGCGATTAAAGTTTCGCTATAACGGGTTCGCGATAAAGGTTGCTAAAATGTGTTCGCGGTTAAGGTTTCGCAGAAATAGATTTACGATAGTGTGTTCTCGATATTCTCTTCGTTATAAATGTTTTGCGGGGAAAATTTCGCGGAATAGGTATAGCGATATTACCTTAGCTTTAAAATTTGTTCGCGGTAAACGACATTCGCGATAAAAGTTTTGCTGAATTGACCTGATACGAATATATACAACTCGCACATTCTAACGGGAAATAGACACAATATAAATTAGTGTTGTTAAACGGCTCGTTTTGAGCCGATTTTTAAAAACGGCTAACTCAATATTTTATCCAGAAATATAAATCATAGTCAAAATTCTATCAATGCAAATGACCAAACCATGCAAACTCACCGAATTGAGCGTGAATGATATGAATTTAAAGGCCAACATTCCACGAACAAGGAGAAAACAATTATGTCACTGTATATTTGTGAATATTGTTGTTCTAGAAATATTAGACACATGTCTAATATTAATAAATAAAATTTTTAAGACATAAATTTATATATGACAAATTTTACATTTCTTTAAATTATATTTTGTATATTTAAATTGTTTAATATTATATATTTTTTCAAATAAATTGCTCTTATCTAGTGTCTACTTATTGAGTTATCACATTTTCAAATGAAATAAGTTTACAATATTTGGGTTTTCATAAAATATATATAACAAATTTTGGTTTCCCTTAAATTATATTTTGAATTTATTTATATTTATAATTGTTTTATATTTAATGTTTATTCAAAAAATAATAAAAACACAAACAATTTTCCCGAGATTCAATGACTTACCTAAAATTAAATCATTTTAATAAATAAATTTTAAAAATAATAATAAAATATAAAAAAGGCAAAAAAAATTAAAAATAGTGCTGTAAATTAACGTCGATGAAAGTAATATCGTTACCAAAACAGCTTTACCTTTTTCGAATAAAAAGAACGCCATTCGCTACCTTTTTAAAAAGGTAACGAGTAACGCGTTTCTTTTTTTTAAGTAACGGTTTTAATTTTCTCTTAAAAAATAAACATTTTATTATATATTTTTAAATTTTATAAATAATTTATACCTAGCTTTAAATTCAGATCAACCACCAAAGTTCTTCATTTTTATTTTATTTGTTATATTTTTGTTGTTAAATTTTTACAGTCAAGATTGTTTATCTAATCAATATTGAGTCAATCGAGATATATTAATTTATATTCCTATATTATAATTTATTTAATAAAGAATATATGTCAAGAATACTTTTTTCTACATATGAAGAAGATCTAACTCTACCCTGACCTGAAATATTTTTTTCTCTACCAATAAAGAAAATTAAGGGCATTAAGACTATATTTTGCAAATGTTGATAACGACAAGGTTATTAGCAATGTTCACTTTCAAACAATTTCAAAATTTCTTTTAATGTTAGTTGGAATAGAGATGGAGAGTCTTAGGCTATGCAGCTATTTTTAATGAAAAAAATGGTGGGATATCCATTAAATCAGTCATAACGAGATGTCACTCATTTTACAACTCAGTAAGATAGTCTTATGAAGGAGAATGGCCACGAATTTGATAAACAGATTTTCAGATAATGACAAGTCGTTTATAGTTGAACATTGCATGGTTAGTGTTAATTAAAAAATATGGTATGCATATATATGAATTTAAATGGAACCTTTGCTACCGCTCTTTCGATTTTAAAGAGCGAAGACAAAATGCATTTGAGATGCCTCACTTCCACAATGACCATTATAAATTAAACTTAAATAATTGGCATTAAATCATATCAAGTTTTGCCATTTATTAGTACACTCATACAAGGCAAAGATAAAAGGTATACAGTTAAATTAATATTTACAATTTATATTTTGATTATATTTATTTTTAATGGATTAGAACATAACAAAGATGAATATATACTATCAACAATTAGTCACCAGTTAGTTAAATTGGATTGGCCATCGTTAAATTTAGAGGTCAACGAAGAAAAAAGTCGTGAGGTTTTTTCCAGTTTGAGAAAAATTTTGACAACTATAAAGAAAAATAGATTTAGTTACTTTAAATAACAATCAGATTACATTCTGATAAAGATAAAAAAATGAGGACCTTGTGAAGATGATCTATGAAATTTTTTTTAAAATAAAGACCATTCTTTATATAATTGAAAGGCACTCTCCTGGCCTTCAAAAATCTTGGTTTAAAATCATCCTTTAACAAAATATATATATGTAAATTTTTATCTTTGCCAATTTTACTATTAAAAACACAATTGAACCTTTTAATTAATCTATTAATATCAAAACTCGCTTCAACACACCCTTCTTCGGTAAATATCGACTGAATAACCATTTTATCTTTATAAAATTTATCATTATTTTTACAAGGATTGTCAAAAGTTAAAAAATTTATCCTATCACCTATATCTAGCTTATTAATAGTGTTAATATCAAAGTTGAATTTAATTATGTCAAATTCTTTGATCCAGTCTTGACCACATAAAGGTGGTCCTTTCCCTTCCAAAACATAAAAATCTAAATATTTAATCGTATTGAAATATTTAACCTTATAATTACTGACTTGACCAATGACTGTGATCGGCGAACCTTCATTTTCTCGAACAACTTTTCAACTCAACATCTTCATAATTGGCCAGCTTTTCAAAATGTTTGATGGGCAAAGATGTCATTTGAGAACCAGTATCTGTCATAAAAGAAAAATTGAGATTATTAAGTTGTATGTCAATCTATATTAATATACTTTTTTATTTTAGAAGGTTTAACGCGATCGTTTTTTAGTAACGATATATTCGTATTGTAATAATATATTATATGTTTGTAAATTGGATAACGTGATTTTATATTATATACGTTTTTTTTACATAATTGATTTATTTTGGTTATAAAAAGAGATCTTACATTATATAAATTTTATCAGTTAACTTTTCATAATAAAGAATCATTTAAAATCTTATGTTTAAATTAAATTCCTACTTCTAATATACATTATACTAAGCAATTCCCCTCATCAGACTTCAAATATCCTACTAATTCCTATCAATTCCTACATCCAAGACAAGCTAATTCCCCCGCTCGTCAACAATTTTTAATAAATTTTAATTAAAATTTTTATTTATTAAATATAATACAACCCTCCTATCCTCTGCACCATTGGTCATGTGTTTAGCACAGCGAAAATTGTGATTAGAACTAAGTGCCATTGTTTATTTGGTCAAAATTTTTTATATCAATTCTAAAAAGATTAAAAAAATTACTACAAGCGATTATATCTTACAAAATATTTATATTATCAATGAGGAAAAAAAATTTATATATAATATTTAGTAATTTTTAACATTAAGTTTATTTTTTTGAATAGCGAGTAACGCGTTTTCACACGGTAACTAGTAAAGGTAACCCTTTTTTTTCAAACGTAACGAGAAACGCCTTTTTTGTAACTTTTACAGCACAAATGACAAAATTGACAAACTGATCAATGGAAAACATGTAATTGGCTTTTAGAATTGCTATGGCTAGTCCTTGATGGATCTAATTATACATTATTATTTTTTTCTATAAGAGAACAGTTTTAATTAATAAAATTTCTCATCTATAAGAGATTTTTTGAAAAATCAAAATTTTTGTTGATTAATTTTTTGCATTATTATATCATAAGATATTTTTTAAAAAAATTATAAAAAAAAAAGTAAAGTTAAATAATAAAAAAAATCCCAAATAAAACACAAATCAACCAATTCACATTACGTACTTGAAATTGTATTAGCTAATTTACAAATTTCGCATTTCTGTTAAAAAAAATTGTGGTGTTAACGCCTTTATGTAGATTATTATATTATCTGCTCCTTTCTAGAACTAAAACAAATTCGATTCGTACTTTACGAATATTTTTAAATAGAATACAAATAATGATTAAAAATTATTTGTCTTATAAGTGAATTATTCGAAAATATTTATAAATTCTTGAAATTATTCATAAGTATTAAATATGTTATTTGATAACTTTTTTCATATCTATTAATCATTTCTTAAAATATTTAACATTCAAATCAAATAATGATTTTATTATTCATATCAATTATGATTAGTATTATAGACCTAATTCTTCTTATTATTTATCGTTTAGTGACTCTTTTCCAGGCTTACCTGGGTAAGGCCATTTTCCCTTCTAATCCCCTTTCTCTATTTTCAGAATGAGCATCACCACTGGAAAAACCTAGCACCTTCATGCCATTATCTACCACTTCATCCAGTTTTCTTTGGTTTCCATCTGAGTCTTGTTCCTTCCATCTAAACAACATCATCTTTTTAACTAATCATCCTTTTCCTTCCGTTCAGCATGTCCAAACTATCTCAGTATATTGCTTATAGCCCAATTCTTTCTCACAGTTCTTTGCTTGTTTTTACTCTCAGATATATCCCGAATATAAATCTAACCATCTCCTTTCTTTCTAACTTGGCTTCGTGGATAAACTTGAATTCGGGTTTTAAACTTATTATTGTTTAATTTCTATTTTATAAATCAGATAGGATTAATCCTGAGAAGTATTTCTTTAAGTTTATCATTTTTTTAAATTAGTCTTCAGAAGTGTAAGCACTTATTTAAATTCAATCGGCAACGAATAGCGGGAGGATTCCTAGTCACACTATCGGATTGCATTAGCAGCAGAACTACGACTTTTAAGAACACCACTGAGAGGGAAGGGGAGATGTTGCAACTACAAAATGTGTTGATTATTGACCTATTCAAATACGGATCCAATAGTGTGCTATTCATATTCATATTATTTAAACAAATAGAATTATTTCGTATATAATTTTATTAAGATACAAAAATTATATTAAAATCTATCAAAATATAAAAAATTAATTATGCATAAATTAAATCAATATCTATAATTTAATGGAACTAAAAATGTTTTAAAAATAATATAGATTTTTTAAAAATTATTTCATGTCTTTAACCGATAATCTCCCAAAATAATTGTTTAAAAAAATATGAATTGTGATATTTTTATTTATTGATTCATACTTTTATGGTTTAAAATATTAATATAGAGTTACAATTTTTGTGTGTACTTATATTTGGTATAAAATATAAACATGGTAAAGAAATCTATATATATAATAACAATATGCATAAAGAATTGATAAACAGATGCTAATACGCTCAGATTCCATGGGTAAACGAGTTTTCCTTGCAATAAAATTTTCATATATTCACTTTTCCGTAAAATTGAATTTATACGTTACGGTGATGGATATTCGGGTTTAGTAACATTTTGTTTATTCTTATCTGTCATCACTACGCCTATTTTTTTTTGGCAACAACTTCAAAAATTAAGATTTAGAACGTTCTAGAAAACTAACGATTCCAACGAAGGATACTTCAATTAGAAAACACATTGCTGGAATTCTACTGCTCAAATTATGTTAGCATATATGGCTCTATTAGATTAACACTTTTTTTTATATATGATCGCTTTCGCTATAAATACTTTATTTCCATCCCTAGATTATAATTGTTCATATATATATATAAAGTAATATAATTATTAACTAAAATTAAAAAATTTGTGAGGTTAAAAAAATTACCCGAGTGGTGAGACGGGAACTTAAACAAACACCCTCAATTTTTAGAATGACATAACTTAAGAATTTATACAAATTGTCTGAACGACCGAAAAGTTATTAATTTTGAAGAAATGACAATAGAATAGGAACACCTTTGAAAGAAATAATCATTTTAAATGTATTATATGCTTGTAGTTTATGTACTGGCTATAGGCATATATTTTTATTTTTAAATTAAGCTTTCATAATAAAAAAAGATAACCATTAAAAAAAAATTGAGTCCTAGGAAATCGGAGTTGCATAATATCGACATTTGCAAAAATATTTAGTTTTATCGGAATCCGCAGAAATATGTAAATATTGCATCTAATATTTTCTTTAATTTATTGAATTTAAAATCTTTATATTCATTTAAAAAAAATACATATTATGATATAAATTAAGGTTGAATTGATTATCAGAATAAATACATATCGGTTTATAAAGTTATTTATAATGTTTATATTTCTAATCATAAAATAATAAGGGTTCGAATTTCGTTGAATTCGATGTACAATTGACAAAAGATCAAATTCCATTTCTGTATCATGATTTTAACGTAGTCATTAGTATCCTAAAAAATCCTCCTAACTTTAATGATGGCGCTACTTTTTATGAAGATTTTATTAAAATAGGAACGCATCAAACTACTTTGCATCAATTAAAAACTTGGCAGGTTAAAATCTTACGTTCATAGCATATGGGTTTTGTAAACCTTGAAAAATAATATCAAATTAATTATATACTCAAGAAAGGATAATAAAATTTAATTTACAAAAAAATGTTGGAGGTGGTTATTTTTGATCAAATTTAAGATTTTAATTAGTCACTATGTTTTTGAATTATTTAATTTTAGTAAAAAAAACTGATTATTATCTGCAATATTTCAAAATTAGTAAATTTTTTAGTAAGCTAGAACCAATATCAAATTATAATTAAATAATTGTGACGTGATCATAATTCCTCTAAAATATTTTATTTCTTTCCGATTACATAATCATTGTCTTGTCCCTAAAACTGATTTTTTTTATAAAAATATAGCTTCACCACGAAACCTTGTTGGATAAACAAACTCAAAATCTTCACCCAAATTCTTTTACCAACTTAATCAATAACTCAGAAGATTCAAATTGTTCAGATAATTCTAGTCTTTCTTATACTATTAATCAATCTCCTAATAAGATAGATTCCAATCAATATTCAAAATCTTATTCCGATGCTCTAAAAAAATCCACTCTTCTTCCCAGCGAAAATTTATCCGTTCCCGATGATAATGAAATTATAAATTTATTGCGAAAAGAGGAACAAATTGCATTCAATGACAATAAAAAGGAAGATAGTATGATTGATTTTATTAGGGAAAATAAGGGGAGCGCAACTCAATTTAAAAAAGGTTAAGAGAGGAAAAAATAAAAATTGATTGCATAATGTTAATCAGATATCTCAATAAAGCCTAGTCCGTGTCTTTAAACCCCAATTTAATAAATTACATGATAGATTATTTAAAAATTCTCTTCTCATATTTTTTACTTTTCTCTGAAACCAAAAATACAACCAACATTATTTTCAAAGACCAAGAAACCCCGGGTCTGGCATATATATTCTTTTAAATAAAGGATGGAGAATAATAATTACAAATCCCGGACCCAACTTGTAGGAATCTCATCGGTTTGATGTTAATAATGATGTTAATGTTAAACTATCCTTTTGCGCTTTATTCCTTAAGAAGTTAATTATTGATAGAATTTGAATTTAAACGAATATAATTAATATATATCAAAATAGTATTATCTTAGTGTTGCTAAACGTTTGGTTTTATAACTGGGTCTTAAAAAATCGACTAAATCAGCTAATATTATTAAACATCTTGAAAAACTTTCAATTAACTTCTCCCAAAATTTTCTAAAATCTCATTCAATACATTAAAAAAAGTATAGTATAGTTGGGTAATTGCTTTGGCTTTCTAGCTTATTATTTAGCCTACTAAAAATGGTTATTTTAGCCGATAATTGTCAAAACTTAACTCGTCTCGCACCTCAATGCTTAGAAGATTTACTTACGCGTCGGTAAAATTGTCCTAATGCTAATAATATTTTCCACAATAATGAACTATCTTTTTCATTAGAAAAAAAAATAAAATTAATATATCATTGATATGATAGCTTTGATTATTATTAAAAACATTAAAAAATATGTCACAAAGAAAAATTTCTAATGGCTTTGGTTATAATAAAAATTATTCTGATTTTACATTGTTTATTTTTTCTATTTCTTGAATCTCGGGCATAAATTTCCTGAACTTCCTACAAAAAGATACTCGATAGGCTAAAAATCCGGACGAAAATATCTTAATTTTTTATTAAGTTTTTAAATGCTTAGTAAAGATGAAATTTTTGTAAAAATTATCATATTCTACACTATATTTCAGGGTAAAAAAACAGATATTTGAAATGATAATCTCATAAAAATTTTAGTTTTCTATTTGTTTATGTTCATATTATATTGTAGCAATTTACTAAACAATGGCTAAATTTTATTAAACCATTTTTTAGACCCGACCGATTTTTAATTATTAAGCGCATCAGGAAGCTTAAAATTACATTACGCCTCAAAAAATATAAAATCGTTATGACGCCCTTTATTTAATGTTATAAAACGATATTAGAAATGTAATCTTAATTATACACTTAAAGAAATATGGGACTATTAATTTATTATTCTATATCTATAATGAATCAATTTTTAGCACATACAATATTAAAATTAAAAATTACAAAATAAATATTATTTTAATAATTAATTTGGTATATAATGCAATACAAAATAATGCAAATGATTATTTAAAAATAGAAATAATAAAAGTATCCATTTTAATCTATCGCCTTCAGTGTTTTTGGCATTATATAGATTCTATAAGAATTTTTAGTGTTATTTTTTTCATTTTAATCTAATTTCATTAAGTTTTTAGCATGATATAGAATCTCTAAAAGGGATTAAATTAGATTATGTAACCGCGTTAATTTTTACTTCACTAGAAATATCCAAAAATTAATCTAATTGAATTAAGTGCTTGTTTTATTTAATGATAAAAATCCTAAACACCTTTCTGATTTCGCTAAACATTTTAAAAAATATATATCAATAGCAATGTTATTAAATAATATTATAAGTAATCTTACCTTTGCACTAAGAACAATATGGGACAATAATAGATTTTTACTGGAATAACCGTAGATTATCTTAAAACCAGGAAATTTTTTATAATTTATTGCCATGTGTTTTATTTTCAATTTTAAATCGATTTTTGAGCGCATTTTAATAAATTTAAATCTGTATCGAAAATGTATTTCATCTTCTTTAGAATACCTACCCTATGAATTTCAGACAATTTTGTCTTTAACTTTTGAGTCATTTAAAATTTATATGGAAAAACGATTATAAAATATTAAGTTAAGATTTCATGGGAAAATTTTCAAAAATCACAGGGTATTTCTAAACTTGTTAAAATACATTTCCTGTAAAATCAGATACGAGGATAGAAGGTTCTAGTTATGTATCTTAGACATTTATTAATAAATATTTGCTACTTGTTATTATCCGACTTAGTATCGTTCCAAGTTTCTACACCGTAGTAAAGAGAGGCCATAATTAAGACTTTAAATAGTCTAATCTTCAATGGAATCGAAATTTGCTGGGACCAAATTTTCATCAGAACCCTGTACTTTATTCTGGTCTTATTTAGTTTAGACTGTTGATCTTTTTTTGTACAACCTTTCTTGTCCAATAAAACACCTAGATATTTTAAAGTAGTTACTTCAGTAATCGTACATCCATCTACAGTTAAATTAATCGGTGGAGAAGAATAGTAGGACGTCATAATTTTTGACTTGTTTTTATCTAATAATAGGCCAAAGTGTCCCGCCTCTAAGATGATACAATTTAAGGCTGACTGTAAAATCAAAGCCGATTCACCGACTAAACATAAATCATCGGTGAAAGCTATAATGCTTAGTTTTCCAGAAAACCATTGAGCAAAGTGTTTATCTCTGACTTTGATTATAATATGATTAATAACAATGTTGAATAGAATCGGTGATAAAACACAACCTTGCTTCAATCCCAACATTATCGGAATTTTCGGTGATTTTTCCCCCGCATGAACAATTTGAATAGAGTAATCATTATAAATTAATTTCAACAGACTTATCAAAATTAAAGGAGTACCCAACTCCTCTAAAGTCCTCCAAAGTTTGGAAAGTATTATCGAATCAAAAGCTTTTTTAATATCTAGTGCAACAATTATCAATTGTCTTTTCCTTACTAACGCTCTCTCTAGTTGAATTTTTAATGCTAGAATCGCCTCCAATGCGTTACGATTTTTCCTAAACGCAACCAATGAATTCACGAATAGAGGTTCCACCAGAGGTTTTAATCTATTTAGTATAATATTTGCAAAGATCTTACCACTGAGTTTATTGATATTCCCCTCCAATCTTCAAGGGATTTAGGATTTTTGATTTGGGGAAATTTACCAAGATTGCAGTGATCCAATCGTTCGGACAAAACCTTTCGGTCATACCCTGGATATAATTGGAATAACATGGGGTCAGTCTTCAAAGTATTCACTATGTAATAAATCCTGACCACTTTCCTTATGATTTTTCAATTTATTAATTATTCCAACTAATTCAGCTTTTTTTGGTTGTAAAATCCTAGCATCGGATGAGATTTGGGCCATAGATGAACTTTGTTGTACATTACGCAATCTTGATTCAGGAAGCAGAGTTGTGCCGAGATAAGATAAATCATCATTTGGGAGAATATTGGTTCTATTATTTAAGCTCATTAGTGGAGGCCAAATTTTCGAAGTGGAAGGATGTTGGTCAATTAAATAAGAGCAATGTGAGGATTTATTTTTAATATTGTAACTATTAGAATGGAGAGGGAAGTTTAGGTGGGAATAATGTAAAGATTGTGAAGATTTGATAGTAACATCATAGTTATTTGGTTGAACACGAATATGAGAACGATGTAATAATGTAGATTTGGCATTATCGTCTATTAAAGATGAGAAAGAAATGAGGTAAAGCTTAGAAGTTGGAGGACATTCTTTGATAATAGTAGCGGAATTTGAAGATGAAATTTGTAGAGGCCAAAGCTTAGAAGTTGGAGGACATTCTTTGATAATAGTAGCAGAATTTGAAGATGAAATTTGTAGAGGCCAAAGCTTTGAAGTGGAAGGACTATGATCATCAATAGTTAGGAGCTAGGTAAACATTTACAGAACTCACATGGTCACTAAACAAACTAGAATAATGATTGTACCAAATGTCCATTTGGGTCTTTGGATTAGTTATCAGGGTATTCTGATGCCAGAGTTTAAATATAAGCTGCTTACGGCCAGATGTAAAATATTTTAGTAGTCTGAAAGCCTTGAAAGAGTCATTTTTGTTAAACAAGTTATTAATTTCTACAGCACGACGTTCCAAGTATCTACGTTTGTCTCTCCTAAGTTTATGGCTAATATCATCTAATAATTTAGCCCTATTTCTCCTATAGTGACCTTTCCCATTTAAATTAACTAAGAGACTTTTCGATTCAGTCGAAATCCAATCCGGATAATCATCTATTTCTGGTAGGGACATGGCCGCCGCCTCAGTAAAAATATCACGAGTATTTTCCCATAACGAATCAATAGATAATTTAAAGAGAGAATCTTTCTGAACTAAATATCTTTCCCGTACAAGTTTGATATATTTATCCTTTATAAAAATATGTTTGATAGTAGTTTTGGTAAAATTTAAAGATTACCAACAGCCCAGTTATAATGAGAGACATTATATATTGACATGATGAATGTCAATAAAATTATGTTATTTTTACAGGATCAGAACGGAACGTGAGTAATAAATGGGATTAATGTTAAAGAAGATAACTAATCCAAAGACCCAAATGGACATTTGGTACAATCATTATTCTAGTTTGTTTAGTGACCATGTGAGTTCTGTAAATGTTTACCTAGCTCCTAACTCTATTGATGATCATAGTCACTTCTAAGCTTTGGCCTCTACAAATTCCATCCTCAAATTCCGCTATTATCAAAGAATGTCCTCCAACTTCTAAGCTTTACCTCCCTTCTTTCTCATCTTTAATAGACGATAATGCCAAATCTACATTATTACATCGTTCTCATCTTCGTGTTCAACCAAATAACTATGATGTTACTATCAAATCTTCACAATCTTTACATTATTCCCACCCCAACTTCCCTCTCCATTCTAATAGTTACAATATTAAAAATAAATCCTCACATTGCTCTTATTTAATTAACCAACATCCTTCCACTTCGAAAATTTGGTCTCCACTAATGAGCTTAAATAATAGAACCAATATCTCCCAAATGATGATTTATCTTATCTCGGCACAACTCTGCTTCCTGAATCAAGATTGCGTAATGTACAACAAAGTTCATCTATGGCCCAAATCTCATCCGATGCTAGAATTTTACAACCAACAAAACCTGAATTAGTTGGAATAATTCATAAATTGAAAAATCATAAGGCAAGTGGACAGGATTTACTACATAGTGAATACTTGAAGACTGACTCCATGTTATGTGCGGAGATCCTTCTTCCAATTATATCCAGGGTATGGACCGAAAGGTTTTGTCCGAACTATTGGATCACTGCAATCTTGGTAAATTTTCCCAAAATCAAAAATCCTAAATCCCTTGAAGATTGGAGGGGAATATCAATAAACTCGGTGGTGTATAAGATCTTTGCAAATATTATACTAAATAGATTAAAATCTCTGGTGGAACCTCTATTCGTGAATTCATTGGTTGCGTTTAGGAAAAATCGTAACGTATTGGAGGCGATTCTAGCATTAAAAATTCAACTAGAGAGAGCATTAGTAAGGAAAAGACAATTGATAATTGATGCACTAGATTTTAAAAAAGCTTTTGATTCGATAATACTTTCCAAACTTTGTAGGACCTTAGAGGAGTTGGGTACTCCTTTAATTTTGATAAGTCTGTTGAAATTAATTTATAAGGATTATTCTATTCAAATTGTTCATGCGGGGGGAAAATCATCGAAAATTCCGATAATGTTGGGATTGAAGCAAAGTTGTGTTTTATCACCGATTCTATTCAACATTGTTATTAATCATATTATAATCAAAGTCAGAGATACACACTTTGCTCAATGGTTTTCTGGAAAACTAAGCATTATAGCTTTCACCGATGATTTATGTTTAGTCGGTGAATCGGCTTTGATTTTACAGTCAGCCTTAAATTGTATCATCTTAGAGGCGGGACACTTTGGCCTATTATTAGATAAAAACAAGTCAAAAATTATGACGTCCTACTATTCTTCTCCACCGATTAATTTAACTGTAGATGGATGTACGATTACTGAAGTAACTACTTTAAAATATCTAGGTGTTTTATTGGACAAGAAAGGTTGTACAAAAAAAGATCAACAGTCTAAACTAAATAAGACCAGAATAAAGTACAGGGCTCTGATGAAGATTTGGTCCTCACAGCAAATTTCGATTCCATTGAAGATTAGACTATTTAAAGTCTTAATTATGGCCTCTCTTTACTACGGTGTAGAAACTTAGAACGATACTAAGTCGGATAATAACAAGATGCAAATATTTATTAATAAATGTCTAAGATACATAACTAGAACCTTCTATCCTCGTAATACTACAAATTATAGGCTTTGGGCTAGCTGTGATATTCTTCCTATTCATAGAATGATAGAATATAGGAAAATCGAGTTGGTGGGTCACATAATAAGACATCCTTCGAACAACTTAATACATCAAGCCTTTATAAATCAATTTCAGGAAGACATTGCTCTAAAGCCTTTTCTATCCTTTAAGGGCAGTTGGTTTGGAAGAATGGTAAGGTCTTTGGTAGAACTCGATTTATCTCGGGATTTTTAAAGACGGCTTCGTCAGACATAAAAATATTCAAATATATTCTGAGACTCATATATGAGCATATGACAAATAACTGCTAAATGAGGTTAAAATTGATAACTTGTTCATAATATGTATTATGAGGTTAAAATTGATAAACTTTGTTCATAATATGTATTTTAAGTTATTATTTTCTAGAAATGGGGTTTTTCTAATATTTATTAGGACTTAAGGTTTCTTTCCATAATCTTCTTAATAATAGTTTATTATTAGATATTTATTTAAAGATGGCCAAACTTCTTCTCTAAATTTATTGTGATTTTAGTTTTTTATTTTATTCTATTCCTAATTGTATCCCAATTGTATTTTAATCATACGTTACTGTTTGATATTTGTTTCATTTAAAGTTGAGTCTCTTCTTTAATTTATTATAATTTAAGTTTTTTTTTTCTTTTTCCTTAAGCCAAGTTCCAATTGTTCTAATTTAAGTAATTGTGATATACTCTTAAAGATCAGTAGTCTTTTCTTATTATCGGCAAAATGATAATGGCTTTTCCTTCCTTTATTGTATTTAATTATCTCTTAAAGTAATAATTAGACGGTTGTATTTGGAAGACTTTAGACAGTTTCCTATATCTATTCAGTTCTCCTTATAATATAATTTCTATTTATCTCCTGCTATACGATTTCTCACTTCATTGGAATGGATTAGTTCCACTCATATATTAGTTTCCTGGGTACAAGGTTTGTCGGTATCCTGAGAAAAAAACCGGCATAATTATATGAAGGATAGGCCTTCATATAATTCACGTTCGCTCATCTTGGGCAGGTCTATGACCAACGTGCAAGATAAGATAAGATTTTTAAAAAGCGTTCAAAAAATAATTTAAAATTGAAAAATAAATGGACCAACATAACATATATAATAAAAAACATCACAAACTAGTAAAAGATAAAATGTTATTAATTTTAATCTATATATATATATATGTGTGTTAGCGGCAATGTGGTATTTTTATAACTTTACATAAATCATTTTTGAGGAGTTTTTTTAAATTTACCTATGTGTTGTAGCTGTTGAAAAAAAAGAAGAAATAAATTTAATTTAATACATCAAATGTCAGTTATTTTCTGACAGGGGAATTAAGTTTTCCTGGTGGATAGGGAAAAAAGGTGATCATCACATGGTTGGTTTTTTAAGGGTCCTTTGCCATAAAACAATCCATATTTATTCATAATTATATTTATCTATCCATTAACAAAAAATATAAAGATTATAAATAAATAATAATTATCCAGCTCATATATTCTTCACTCCCACAGGTCCATTCTTTATTCCTCCCAGCTGACATCTTCTCCAATTAATCCAATATCTTCACTCCAAAATAGTTAACAAAGGACCCTTAAAAATGATCACCTTTTTTCCCTATCCACCAGGAAAACTTAATTCCCCTGTCAGAAAATACCTGACATTTGATGTATTAAATTAAATTTATTTCTTCTTTTTTCAACAGCTACAACACTATGCATTTCAGATAATTTTGCCATGCCATATACTTTTGAACTTATTTATATTAGTTTTTCTTATAAATTATAACTGAATCAAAAGTTACCAATAAAATTATCAACAATTCATAAGATAGGTCTAAACATGCTGGAATACATTTCCGAGAAAATAAAAAATTTTAATTAAAAAAAGCACGCTCAAAATATGATTTAAAATTGGAAAAATAACACAATAGCGGAAAAAACACATTGCCGCTAACATATGCACAAGATTAAAAGGATATGTTAATAATTAGTTAGACCTGTGCGCCGACAAAACTATCGGCGGATTATTTTTTTATAATATATATTTTTTTATACTAATTTAATATTTTTAAAGAAAAGCTAAATTAAAATATAAATAAAAATATTGGCATATATTTAGATATTTATTGCAAAGACTTAACTAATTATAAATTCAATTAATTTTGTAATTTTATTATTATTATATATAAAAATAATCTCAATTTCATTGTTTTTTTTCCAATTTTTTCTGTTCTTTTAAATAATTTTTTGTTGATTAAACATGTTTTTTTTTAATTCTGTTTTTTCCATCCCTAGTCATATATCTTGAACTAATGCTTCTCTTAGTTTAGGATTTTATAAAAATATAAGCAGTTTATTGTTCGCTTTAATATAAAAAATTGAAAGAAAAGGGGATTTTTTCTTTATATGACCATTTCCGGTTTTCTATTACCCTGTACTTAACTATTTTAAATTTTATTTCATATTAAAGGGCTATTAATATTATAAAAATATATAGCAAAAGTAATTAATAGTCAAATTATTTTTCAAGATATTTATAATTAAATGAAATGTATTTTAAAATTTTTAAAGGTTGCCATATCTCAGGAAGTAACCCTAGTTGGAATAAAATAATTTGTATTTTTCTTATTTAATTTATACTACAATCAGACAATAATTTTAAAAATTTGAGAGGTCAGGTTGAATCAACAATTGTAAAGGGGATTAAAATAATAATTTTTTCCGATTTATAAAATCCAGTTAAAAAGGGCGAAAACGAAATTAGTCAAAATTTAAAGAGCCAGTTTAACGTATTCCCAACATTGAAGGATGTCATGGAAAAGCTTGATGTAAACTTAGGATTTAACGTAGAATTAAAGTACCCACTATTATTTGAAGTAAAATGTTTGTGAGTTTATCGATAGTATAACTAATTTAATTCTCTCACGATACTCCAATCTGTTATTATATTACTAGTTTTGACAATATTTGTTCTTAATCAGTGGTGTATTGCTTAAAAATTTGGTGGAGGGGGAGAGGGGGCTTTTTTTTAAAATATATTACCAAAAAATATGATATATAATTGAATATTTTTAACATGTTCAAAATCATAAGATGAAAACACCCTTCACATCCCCTCCCCTCAAAAAAAAAATTATTTTAAATTATTTTAATTCCTGAATATTTTTTGATAAATTTTTAAAAACAAGAATGTAATGTGATAAAAATAATTGTTGTTTAAACCACTATTGGTTTTAAAAAAAACTATTAATGTCTGCTGAAATACCTAATAGCGCCAAAACACCTCATATTGTAATGAGGAAAAAGAAAATATAAATGTAGTTAATTTGGTGGAAGAATGAAAATGATCAAGATGCCAAGATTCAGAATAAGGAAAATAAGCCTGAACATGCAAAAACAAAATGAATAGGTTAGATTTTTAAATTATTCTTGTAAATATTTTATAACTATTTAAATCAGCTATCATCAATTAGGCCAGGTCCGATCAAAATTATAACCAAAATAATATTGTGGAAGTCTGGAGATCTTGCTCATAGATGGCAGAAACGTTTGTTGGACATCTATTTACCAAAGACGAGGCTTACTTAATATTGTTTTGGCTAAAATCTTAATCGGTCGTTTTTAAAAATAGACCCAAATAAGGTTTTTTAACAACAATACCTAAATCACTCAAAAAGACTGTTACTAATAATGGAAGAATATTTTCCTTGAAAATACGTATAGGTTGAATAATCAATCGAAGCTGATGCAGTTTTTTGCTCCTTGTAAGATCTATAACTTAAAGTGAATCAAATCTATACCAAGATGGGTTTTACCAACTGGAAGAAAATACTTGTATTCAGGGGCCTTGAGAAACATTATAATTGCAGAATACAAAGAAAAGGATCATAAGACTAAAAGATTTTTCCAATTTTTTTGTATAAACTAATTAGCAAAGACAACCATTTTAATTTTCTAGGCATAAAAATTTAAAACCTTTATTGACAACCAATATTATGAGATTGTTAAAAAAATATTTGTTAAAAGTTTAGAAAATTATAAAGATTGTGTTACATCAGATTTTGTCAAATTTCTATACCCTTACAAAAATGCATTTTTAAATGTTTTTTAAATATTATGAATCAGTTTAGATTATTCACATTGAGTTGTGAATCAACTTTTAACTATTAAAGAGAATTATAAATCAGATAAACGTTCGAGTAGTGATATAAGAAAGGGTACTTGGTTTTATTAGGAAATGGAAAAAACATAACCGATTAATTTTGAAAATATTTTCATGGTATCAAAATTTTATTAAAGCTTTTTTTGATTTTACATTGCTTCAATTATTGACATAATACCAATTGTGATGTAGTTATAAATATTTTTTTAAATAACATATATTTTATTTGAATCCCTACAAGTATTATACAAGTACAATTAATTTATATCAACATTATTATATAATATTTGTAAAATCATAATCAACTAATTTCTTCCAGCTATAAGTCAATTCTTTCAGTTCATATAGTTTTATAAACATTTGATTATTGTATATTTTTATATGTGGTATTTTTCAAATAAAATAATATATTTCAATTTTTGTGTTCAAATAACTTAAATATTAGTTCTATGGTGTTAAAAAAATTTTAACAGCCCCCCCCCCCATGGGTGAAGCTATAATCGGGCATGAATTTGTCAGTGCTGCAGGATAAAGTATGCACAGAGTTAAGAAAATTTGTAATTTGTAATATCTTCATTACTATATTGTCCAAGTCCAGCAATCGTTTCATATTTATTTATTTTGAATCTTGGCAGTTCTTACTACTTTCTTTTCGTCAAATCGCGTATCTAGGCTTTTAGGCCAATTTACTTTTTGATTAAAGAATATATCGGAAAGAATTTCTAAAATGAGGAAATAATTTGAATAATTTGATTTAAATTTATTCAAATCATTTTATCCACGTTTCCAAAGCTATTCATTAGACGGAACTGCATCATACTTTCTAGAGCTTATAAATTAATCTATTTTTCATCTTTATCAGATTTGGATTTTTTTTAATGGTATATTTTTAAATAAAAGTGTAAATTCTGAATCAAGCGACATTTGTAAATATTTACATACAAAGAGCTTTTACGTGATAAAAATGGGTAGGAACGATTTGGTTCCAATTTTTATGAAAGGGGGGGGGGGCGTAGGAATTTAAATGGGGTAGGAGATAGGCATCCATAGAGGGCTAGAAAAAATAAACAATGTTTAGATTAAAAAAAATTATTTATAGATATTTATTTCTCATTCATTCACATATAACATTTTAAAACAGATTGAATTTATACGCTCTCTTGGCAAGGATACGATTGACAACTAGTTTATTGTCACCAACTAATGTTCATTTGTTATTCCTGGTCTAATAAGAATGAACTCTGAAAGAATTTAATTAGAATTGTTTGATTATTGGTAGCTCATTATAAGATTTTTTGAATAATATAATGGGAAGGGGTTTGCATCCAATGAATTTTCTGCAATGCAGACGCTGCCTACATAATTTTTTATTGTCAACATGTTTCTAATTATTTTTCTTTAAAATGTCAGTCAATCAATAATAATTCATTGTCAAAACACCAAAGAATCTGATAAAAATAAATATCCAAATTTATTAATTCTTTCAAAGTAAATTATCTTAACAACTAATAACCTACTTATTCGAAAATTTCAAATCTCTATTTAAACAATTAAAATATTTAGTTAAATTTGGACTATTTCTTGCATTTTATTGTTAAATAGGTTCAATCCTAACAGTCAAAAAAATTCGTTACTTTTTCAAAATTGAGCCTTCGTTTAAACCTCGAGTGAGGCCAAGATGAGAATTTTCTCTTAAAAACTCGGTTTAGCCCATTTAGAGTTGGCTTAAAACCTGCTAAAAATGGAGTTATTTATCACCACCACTTGTTCATGGTGAACCTTTTATACTTATAAAACAGAAACGGCAGACTTAGAAAATTTCTAGAAAAATAATGAAAATAAAACTTTACTTCTTTATTTTCTATGTGACTATAAAAAAAATATGAAAAATTTGACTATATAAAAATTTTAATAACTAACACTCGAAAACAATTTAAAATTATATGGCGGGGGAATCAGCCACTCCTCAAAATTTGGAATCGGGGATAAAATAAAAAAATTAGCAGGGGAGCTTAGTCCTTCTTGCAATACACCCCTGATCTTAATCCTTATTATTGTAGTATTTTTTTAATTTAGTATTGTTAACTTATTGTCAAAACACAAAATATTTCATAAAATCACCTTCATGCTATCAATTAAATTTTAAAAAAAATGGAATTTAATGTAAAGCATCTGATTAATTTAAAAAATTGTTCGATATTCCTTATTATATAATGAAAACTTGTCCAACTAAAGTGTTTGATCATTATATTAAATAGAATATATTTAATATCGAATAATTTTTTATCTAATATTTGATATTGGTGTTAGGTTTATAATTTTAAAAAATATATTAAATTGTTTTTTAAAAATTAAAAACATGTTCCATTTATCACCAATTTTTCAGGACAATACGCATGAAAGTATAGATGGACAATACCTGGATTTAAATATTTATTGCGATGCAATTTTAACGACCCTTTTCGACTCTGCTAGGAAATTTGATAAAAAAAGGAACCTGATATTCTCTTCTTTTCATCCGGATGTATGCTTGATGTAATAATCTTATTAACTTTGGAATACTTTAGTTATATAAAACATCTTATTAAATCTATTTAATTATATTATAATAACATTTTCATTATACATCTTTCAAATTCAATTACAGATTTATTATACAACCCTATTATATACCTCTTCTTTTATTGCTGCTTGTGTTAAATAAGGTATTAGATGATTTCATTGCTGTAATCAAGGGAAAGGGATCGGAAAATATTTCACTTCTTAAATTTTTCCCCAATTTTCGTAAATATTATTTTCAATTAATACAATTATTCCCCTACACTCTACACTATCTCATAAAATAACCCGGAGTGAATCGAAACACCTAAACAAGCTTATATAATTTTCTCAACCATAACCGAACCTTTATACCAAATTGCTAAAAGGAGCGAACAGAACTTATATAATCTCTCTAAACCCGTTTTGTTTTGCATAAATCAAAATTTAATGGCATATATTTGATAATTAACACTTTCCCTATTGAGTTTTTATTTTTTTTTATGTTTGAAAATATTTTGATATTTTTCTTGCTTGATTATATTAATTTAGATAAAATTAACACTTTCATGATAAAATTAATGATTTTAATTTAATATATAGTTAGTGATATGTATTGAATTGTTTATGTAGTTATTTTTTATTTTTTGTAAAATGTTTATTTTCATTATATTATTATGAATTTGAATAATAGAAAAAGAATTTTTTTGATATGAAATAAAAGAAAAAGAATTGCAAGAATTATTAACTGATTTATATTTCTATTACTACTAACAATACTACGAGAATGGCGCAGTAATAAAAAGTCTTACGGATTCAAACCTGTGTTACAAAGATTGGTATGACTTATTTAAAGAATTTAAAAACACAAAACCAAGTTTTACATCATCACAAGAAAAGTCACTGTTATTAACAACAATAGGATGTGATACTTACAAAATACTGGTTTGCACTTAATAGTCCCGGAAACAAAGAGTTATTAGAAATATATAATATTTTAATCAAATTTTTCATCCCAAACCTAATATAATTGTAGAAAGATATAATATTTATCAATATAATCAAAAATATGAGGAAAAATTAATAGACTATATACGAAATCTTCGAAAATTAGCAAAGACTTGTGAATTTGGGGAATATTTAAATACTGCATTAATGGATAAATTTATATTCGGAATAAAAAAATCCTAAGCTATTCAAATAGCTATTGCAGTAGAAATAGCTATAAAAAATACAAAATGATGAAACTAAAATCGATCAGTTAGAAGAGGAACATAATGATAATATGAATAGAATTTAAAAAGTTATTAATTATAATGATAAGCAATCAAAATCATATAATAATTATAATACGAGCTACAAAAAACCAAATCCCTGCCGCTCCTGCGGCGTAAACCATAGGAGGGAAAATTGTCTTTTCAAGAATGGCACTTGTTATAAATGAAACAAAATTACGCTCATTGTTCAAGTCTATAGAAAAGAAATAGTAAATTTTATTAATAATACAAGTGAATATAATCCAGAATTTTGGATGGATGTCAAAATAAACAACAGCGATATCAGAATGGAATTAGATACTCGAACTGGGGTAAGTTAATTAATGAAATAGATTGGAAAAATAAACTTGATCGTCCTGGATTAACAAAATACATGCTAAAACTTAAAAGTTACACAGGAACCAATATACCGCTATTAGGTCAAGACTGTAGTAAAAGTACAATATAAAGACGAACATTAGAACTACCTCTCATAATTACAAAAGAATTTACAAAAATCTAATTGGAAGAAACTGTATGACTAAATTTCCCAAAATGACTGAAATACCTGAAAGAACCATTCAAAAATAACATTAAAATACAAAATGAATTTCCTCAATTATTTACCAAAGAATTCGGCTGCTTAAAAAGATTTTAAGGCACAAATATATATGAAAAACGAGAAACCAATTTTCTGTAAATCACGTCCCGTACCATACGCATTAAAAGAAAAAGTTGAAGAAGATTTAGATAGATTGCTAAAAATAGGAGTAATAGAAAAAATTAATTATTCACTTTATGCATCACACATAGTAATTGTTAAAGAAAGATAAAACATTATGAATTTGCGGGGATTTTAAATAAACTATAAATCAATATATTATTGATTCATACCTAGTACCAAGAATCCAAGATTTATTGGTCAGTTTGGGAAAAGAAGAGGAATTTTTAATATTGGATCTCAGATGCCTATTTTCAAATTAAAGTGGGGGGAGAGCCTCAAAAATATCTTGTAATCAATACGTATAGAGGATTATTTAAATATAAAAGACTACCTTTTGGTATATCGTCTTCTCCAGCAATATTTCAACGAGCCATCGAGAATTTAATAAAAGGTTTTTAAGGAGTAGCTTGTTATTTAGATGATATTATAATAACCGGGAAAAATAGAGAGAAGCACGAAATAATTTTAAGATAGGCACTAAAATGTCTAGACAAAAATGGAATCAAGCTAAAGATAGAAAAATGTAAATTTTTTAGTACTTAGGACACAATATTACAAAAAACAGGATTACAATTACAGAAAAAAAGTTAAAAACAAGCTTAAAACAATTATAGTCATTAGGATCAGCAACATTATATTCAAATATTATTTCAAATTTTGCAGACAAAGCCAAACCATTATACAAATTATTAGAAAAAGCAGCAATTTGGAGAAGGACAAATGTATGCAAAGACGCGTATAAAAAAATAAAGCAAGAAATAAGTACTACTCCAATATTATAATCCGAAATTATCCATTAAATTAGCAACAGATGCGTCAGCCATAGGAATTGGGGCAGTAATATCACATATAGAAGGGGGTAAGGAGAGACCAGTTGCATTCGCCTCAAGAACGCTAAATGCAGCCTAGGAAAATTATAGCCAAATAGAAAAAAAAATTCTTGCCATCATATTTGGGGTTACAAAATTCAAAGAATTTATATATGGAAAGTTCACATTGCAATCAGACCACAAGCCATTAATGAGTTTATTTCATCCAAGAAAAGATATACCAACAACATCTACTACCTGAAAACAAAGATGGGCTTTATTATTAGCAGGTTACCAATATGAAATAAAATTTAAAAGTAGTTGACAACTAGCCAATGCTGACATGCTATCTCGATTACCTATACAGGGAACCACAATATCAAAAGAAGAAACATTATATCAAATACTGGTGGGCACCTTTAAATGCAAGTGGGATTGAAAGAAAAACAATGCAAGATGAGGTACTCTCTAAAGTATACAGGTATACAACAGACGGAGGGCCAATAAACTATGATACATGTTTAAAGGAGTATAGTCAAAGGAGAGAGGTTGTTTACTTGGAGAACTAAAATGATACAATGCCGAAACAACGTGCTAGACATGATTCATCAAGGATATATTGGAAAGGTAAAAATGGAGATGAGATCAAGATAATATGCGTGGTGGCCTAATATAAACCGTGAGATATCGAAACACGGGTAAAAGATGTAGTGAATTCCAGGAACAAGACGATATGCCTCAAAAGACGTCAATTCAAAATGCCAAAACCACCAAAAGCATGGCATCGAGTACATATTGATTATGCTGGACCATTTCAAAATCATTATTGGTTGGTAGTGATAGATTCTAGCAGTCGCTGGCCAGAAATAGTTCCTATGACTAGTATTACAATTGAAAGCACGATAAAAATTTTAAGAAATACCTTTGCCAGATTTGGATTTATTAAGATAATCGTTTTTGATAGCGGGCCACAATTCAGCAGTCATGAATTCAATAATTTTTGCGAAAAGAAGAAATACAATTAGTGCACAGAAGCCTATACCATCCTTTAGACTCATGGCCGAATGTTTAGTTCAAACCTTTAAACAGAGCATGAATAAAAGAAATGAGGCTATTTTTCTCTACAATTGCCGAAATACACCAGGGGCAGAAAATGAATATCCCGCCGAACCACTACTAAAAATTAAACCTAGAGGATTGTTAGACCAAATATTCGAACGGGGTACAAAAAGGAGAAGTTAGAATACTACACTCAAAAATTTGAGATAAATGTAAAAGTGTGATCGCGCGTTTACAATAATCAAGAAAAAAAATGGGAAAAGTCATTATTAAAAGCATAATCGGACACTACGATGTGAAGTAAGTATAGAGAGTAAAACGATTATACGTCATACTGATCAATTAAGGAAAAGAACCGAAAATATATTAACTGAAGAATACGAAGTAGAATAAAGAACCGAAAAGATAGTAATAGTAAACAATAACGATGAATTGAACCTAAAGGAGAGAGAGCAAAATGATACAAGTCAAGAAACTGAAGGAAGTCTTACACAAAAGTTAGAAACTACAAGTCAAGATCGATATCCTAAAAGAATACGAACGAAACCAATTAGATTGGGGATAAATGATATGTATTGAATTGTTTATGTTGTTATTTTTGTAAAATATTTATTTTCATTATTATATGAATTTGAATAAGAAAAAGAAAAAGGATATAATTTTTTGATATTAAATAAAAGAAAAATAAATTGGAAGAATTATTTCTGACATTAAATTTCGATTACTACTAACATTTCAGTTAGTAGACATCTGCAAAGCGCGGCCCCGCCAAAATATCGGCCAGCGGGTCGGGCCATATATAAGAAATAAACTGCCTAAATTCATACATAAATTTGGCCTAAAAAATTTTGATATCATTTTTTGAATTTCGAGCTAATTTAATTTTGATTAATACCATTTGAAAAGAAATTATAATGTTTATTACAAATACACAATACAGATATCAAAATAATTGATTTATAAAAAGAGGCGGAAACTTATAAAAATGTTTATGGGGGCCGAAATTTATTTTAAAGATATGTTCAAAACTTGTATAAAACCTAGTCAAATTTTAATTAATTGTAAATAAAATATAATAAAAAAGTTTGTAATTACATTTTTGCAATCAGTTTTTATTTCCTTCAAAGTTTTTGATTGTCGCATATTTCGGGGGTTATATTATTCTTTTTAATGTTTATATTTTTTAATATTAATAAGGGATTGGTTGTTTTTATAATTGGTTAATTTTTTTATTTTATATAAATATATATTTTTTTAAAATTTTAAATTATGTGAATGAATAGAGTAGAGAGTTCTTAGCCATACATACAGCCTCTACATAGGGGGGTAAGAGCATTTTACCAACAAATTTTGTGAAGAGCTGGGCTTGGGAGTAGGCATCTAAGGGTGGTAGGATAAAGGTAAGGTAAATTTTGGGGGGTTATCAATTCATCAATTTTTAAATGAAATAGGGCAAAATATATTGCTGTTAAAATTATATATAAGTTATATAGAAATTAAAATTAATGCAATTTTACTCATTAAATCGAAATATATTATTAAAATTTATACAATCATAAATAAAATATTAGTGATTGAAACAATAGTGGACATAATTTGTCCATTTAAGTAGATTATAAATAATTTTACTTATAAATAAAATATGCCCTAAACTCAGTGATAATATTTTTATTTAATAATTAATAGGTCAATAAAAAGTTATCTATTATAACTTTTAATTGAAATATATATTTAAATTCCCTTATTAATATTTAAAAAAAACAAATATCTCCCGAAAGAAGCGATAACCAAGTTTTTTATATTGTAAATGACTAAATAATATTTAATATATTTTACTTTGTGAATGATAAAATATAATAAAAATGTATTAAATGAATCTTGCACCACAAGATTTTATGACCTTCACAATGTACATAGATTGCTAAATATTCTTCATTACACAGTCGCGTTTGTAAACTGGAAATCTTTACAGTAAATTGAAGGCTCCATCATCATATTTAGCTCTGCATTTTTTGATGTCTATAGAATATCTAAGTAATATATCTTTGATTAATTCATCTGGCCCCAGATAAATTTTTTGATGGGGGCGAGAGCCCCGCCGCCTTATGAAGTCGGTGCTTATGTTTATCAACCAGTTGTTATGAAAATAAAATAGATAGCCCTAGAGTAGATATATATAAGCGCCTTGGGAAAAATTAGATAAATACATTTAAAATGTGCGGGCCAGAAAATTTGTCTAAATAAGTAAAAAAAATTATCAGGCCTAAATATGCCGGACAAACATTCAAATGATAAACCTTTGATATTATATTATAGTTATACAAATTTGATTTAAATATTTTAAACCCGAATAATTTTTATAAAATTGTAACCTAACCTTTTAAAATTAAATAGCAAACCTTTATAGATAAGGTTCGAGTCCATGTTATAAACAATTATTTAAAAAAATATTAATATATTAGCTAAGAATTATTTATGAAAATAAAATTTATGATGAAAAAAAATACCCAAAAGTCTTCTTTATGAAAATCCTAATACGCCTATGGGTAACGTTCAAAAATTATTCCGATTTTTCGATTCGATTTTAGTTTATTTTATTGGAATTCAAGGTGATATAAAAATTTTAAATTATATATTTTGCTTTTTAAGGTTGAGATACAAGCAGAATCGTTATCCCGTGTTTTTATGCTTCGACAACAATCCAAGTAACGATCCATTTTTCAAAGATGCAAGGACGAAAAACTTGAGTTTCGCCATAAATTATTGTTTGGGGAATGGATTAGCGGTATAAAATTTTTAGGACAATGATATTTTTTCCTCTTATAAATATTTTTTAAAATATCTGATATATAATTTTATTAATTATAATAATGAACTAAATTATACAAATTTAAATTCTTACCATTGACCCCTGAACAATTATTTTTTTGCCAATTTCAGTATCAAAAAATGATAATCGACTTCTTTTTTTAAAATAGGGCTTAAGTTTAAACTGTAAAACTTTGCTGAAAGAACCAGAAATAACAGATATGGCTCGTGAACTTAATTTAATAATCCTTGTATGGGGCTCAGAAGCATCAGACCGCAATATCAGAGAGACACTCAAAAAAATGGGAGTTAATGGCATCATATATGATAGAAATTAGCATATTAACCCTTTCATTTACAATAGGCCAAAATATAACCCACATACAAGATTTAACCTTTTAATGTATACATTTCATTTTTACATATGCTTAAAACATTATATTTTTTAGAAAATAAATGTTTATTTAACATTTTTTTAAAAAAAATCTTTTTTAATTCGCCATAGTAAAATTTTTATAACCATATTTTTCCAAACGGATATTTTAAAAAATTCATATTTTTAAAAGTTATTCAATTTATTATTGTAATATTTGCCATGAATAGTCAAGATAATTTTGATGAAGTCATTGTGAAAAGCGTTTTTTACTTTTTTAAAACACATAATTTCATGTTAATTTTGTTTGTTTAGTAAAAGTCATAGCGCGATCATCATGTATTTTATTTTGTAAGATCTATTTTTAATTATAAAATTTATTTTTCATAAAATAATTTTCCCGAGGCCGCAGCGCCGCCAATCCGCCCCTGCCTCTACTCTTATATTTTATATGCATGCTTTTAGTAATTCATTAACTTCATCAATTGTTTCTTTATAGTAATTTAAATAGTTTTACATATATAAAATAAAATATTTTAATATTAGGGCTTTTCTCATAACTTTTTATTATTATAATTTTTTAAATCTACAATATATGTGTAGCCTATAAACATAATCTGGAACCCAATGACTTACCCAAAATTTACCTGGGAGGAGGGGGAGGGGGGGGGAGGGTAATGATTGTATTAAAAAATATATAAAATAAAGTTTTCAAAAATTATTAATTATAAATATTTTGAAATTTTTTTTATTGAAAAGAAAATATTTTAATTCGATATATATTAATAGACTGCAAATTTTATAGGGATTCCAAATATATAAGGATATCCCTATTTATTAATTAATAAAACATGCTCATACTTTTCATAATATTCGCTCAAAATATTACCTGATTTTATTTTTAAAAAATTATATATTTTTTTATTTTATCATACTTCGGTAGGGGGGGGGTTACTAATTTGGATGGGGGTTTCATCTCCTAAATCCTAATTTTGCCGGACATTGGCTGGATCTAGCTGGAAAATTGTGATTAGGTATTTTTTATTTTCCCGTTGTTTTTTATTTTGCTTTTTTAAATATGAAATCTCTTTATATCATCTTCTTTAAGGTTGGTTGAATAATTGGAAGCACTAATTCAAAAATTTATGTATAATTCATGTTTACGCTATGTAGTAATTAGTATAAAGAAAGAAATTATTTGTAACAAAATTTTTAGCCAACCTTAAAGAATGGATTAAAAAACGACTGAAAGCATTTATTCTAAAAATTTTATTAATGTTTAGCGCGTTATTTTAACTCGTTTAGTAAATAGGATAAAGCAAAAAATTAATTAGTAAAAATTTGGCATTATGCCCGAATGGAAAATATAAGAAAATATAAAACAACTATATATCTGGTTTGCGCTAATATTTAGTACCTAACTAATTACTAATTCCTCAATCAATTTTGATAAATATAAAAATGAAAACTGTGATGCCCGTGTGAAGTGAGCCAAGTTTTTGAAAACATTAATTCTGAAACTTATTTTCTTACACCTCAACTTTCTTATTACAATTAATTAGAATAAAATAAGAACTTAATCTAAATTCTTAAATAGATCTTTTTCTTTAATTTTAATTACAAAACGCTTTGTTAAATCAAAATATTTTTTTTTGATTCATTAGTTAATTTCAATTTGAATACCTTATGGTGCGGTTCATCCGGTGCAAAAAATTTTGGAAGAATAAGTGATAGTCCTGTATTTGTACTGGTATTTATTTTATTTAATCGTGTGTATTTCTAGGTTTTCTCACATACTAATTAATAGGAAGATAATATAGCCAATATAAACCTTCCATAATCATATTTTTTATTTAATCGGGCAGGGGCTTTTTATCTCTCATCTCATTTCCCATGGGCGTTTAAGTATGGGGCTTTGCCTCTTGCGCTCACAGTTAACTGCGGCCTGCCCAAAAACAGATAATCCTTTTAATTTTTTCCCATCTTTTATACCAGTTTATATATATATATGGTTAGTGCGCTTAATATCACGTAAATTATTTTTTTTATTATTTCATTTCAAAAATCACGCTTTTTTAAAATAAAATTATATTTACAAAAAATATTATAGTAAAAAAAATTATTATTTATTATAACACTTTGTTTAATCTCCGACCAATCAACAATAAGCAATATTATTGATTGACGATTGTTAAAATATTGTAAAAATTATGCATATTGTGACACTATTTATATGCAGGGATCCAAACCGAAACGAATATAGATTCAGGTTCGGATAAAAATAACGGTTCAAGGTTCAGGTTCGGTTCGTAAAAAATAAAAATAACGGTTCGGTTCGAACCTCTATAAACCGGTTTGAACATTTTTGTATTCAAACCTACATTCGAATTATGTATAGGGAAAAATATTTTTTTTATCATTAAAATAAAAAAACACATACATAAAACCTTCATTTTTATTAATTGCATAATATAAAATAATATTTAATTTATAAATATAACAAATAGATATCAATGATTAATTTTATAATATGAACAATATTTATAACTTTATTTATTTAAAAATTTTTTATTAAGCCGTACAATTAATATATTTTCAAGATTTATCACACTCAAATTACATCTATAAGGGGATAGTATAAATTTAATTGTAGAAAAACATCTTTCTACGCTAACTTGGGTAGCTGGCACTGCCAGTATGATATCAGACTTATATAATTCAGGGTATCGATTACTCTGATTTCTCCAATAGTATAAAATATTCATATTTTTATTTAACCTAGATTCTTTAGAATTAACTAAAATATTTTTAATATTCTCCGATTTTTGTAAGAGATTTTGTTTGTTCACATCTTTTTTCAAATAAGACTTTCTACTAAGTCCTCTTCAGGTGAAGATCCATTAACCGGTGTTGATTCACCTTCACTAAAATCCTCCACTCTTATAACAAAGTTCGATTCCATGTTATGCCATATTTTAATAATATGTTCTCTAGCTTTGGTTTTTTCTTCTTCAGTCAAAAGCACTTGATATCTATATAATAAAAATTAAAAATATCATTAAAAAAATCTTATATTTATTTATAGATAGAAAAATATATAAAGTGAAATAAAATTATTAATTAAAATAAATAAAATTATTGATTAAATTTATATAAGATATAATATTTTTAAAACATACCTTAAATCTAGATATATGCATGACAAAAAGGCATTGTTGTTTAAAAGTTGCTTCTCTCTAAAATTCATAGCATCAATTATTGAACCAGCAAAGGGTGAAGTAAAAATGGAAATTTCTAATTTAGCTTTCAGCCATATGCCATAAAAATCCCCTAAAGTTAGCTGCTCAAGTTGTAAGTTCTTGGAAGCTACTTTCATTGGTTTTAGTATATTTACCAACCCTATAATTGCTTCCCATTCCAGAGTTGTAAAACAAATCACTATATGATACTGATAACTCCTCACAAATATCTTTTAATTCATTCAATCTCTCTAGCATGTCATAGGTTGATAACCATCTGTGACAATCCAATATAGGTCTTTTTAAGTTTAATTTTTTTAGTATGATTGATATCAATTTTGTCCTTAGCTTCTTGCAGGCAGTACGAGCTTTAATAATAATATTAGAAATGGAGGAATTTTTTAATGCATGAGCTACCACAAGTTGTAAGGTATGAGAAGAACATCTTATATTTATAATATCATATTGAGAATCATTAAGATTGCTTGCTAATTCATCAGGTACATTTGTGAAACTAGTATAAATATCATAATTATCTATATTTTGTATTTGTTCTTCTTCATCATTTTCAGACAATTGATTGTCATCATCACTATCCTCCATAAATAATTTTACCATCTTAATTAGATTTGCCCCATTGTCCGTTGTTATAGTGTACAGTTGTGATGTTTTTATTTCACAATCATTTAATACTTTTATTAAAAGGAGTTTTAAATTTTCTGCAGTGGGCCGTTCAAAAATTTCTTTCATTGCCAGTGTTCTCAAAACAATTTTTGCTTTTTGAATGTACTGAAGATTAATCCCAATAATGGACCTGTCTAGACGAGTAACACAGTCAATTTTTAGAGATAATAATTTACCATTTATTTCTTTGATTATATTTTGCCGAATATCTAAGGCTAATTCTGCAACATTCGATTGAATATTTTTGGAATTAATTTTAATATTACCTAAACCTTCTAATATAGGATCCAGAATTTTTCTAAAGCCACTATCATCGATTAATGTGAATGGTCTACCATTAAAAGTTACCAGCTCAGTACAAGCATCAATTATTATTTTTTTACTAAGTTTCACTGATATAGTAGTTTGTTCTTTAAATACTTCTTCTATTGTCTGTTGGTTTGATGGCATCTTAAGCCTTTTTATTTTATTAGGAATTTGTTGTGATATTTTAATTTTATTGAATTCTATAGGGTGGTTTCTTTTTATGTGACGCTCCAAATTTGCGCCATGATTACCTTTCATATTTATTTGACAATCAGCAATATTACATTTTGATGTGTCATTAATAATATTATAAGTAAAATAATTGTATATGGGGTTTAATTTTGCTCTAGGCATTATAATTTATAAGCTTAAAAAATATTGTAAAATGGCAATACACTAAAGTTCATAAAAATTATGACTGACACTTATCAATCAAATGTTATTGATAAAAATCTTTAAAACAATTTGAATATAATTAAAATATTTTGCAATATACTAGTAATAACTTACACATTATTTTAGCAGCATAAAATCACGAGGTTCTTACCGGTTCAGTGGCATTTTAGCGGTTTTGGATAGAAATTTTTTAGCGGTTTAGGTTCGGTTCAGGTTTGATAAAAAATACCGGTTTTTAGAGGTTTAACGGTTCGGTTTGGATCCCTGTTTATATCAACCATTTTTTTATACCATGTTAGCTAGAAAAGGTCATTTTGAAAATGTTAGTTAAAATTAAAAAAGGTCATTCTAAAAATTAAAATTTTTTCTCCACCAGAAACTATAAAAGCTTTGCCCCTGGTACATTTTATTTAATCTGCTTGAAATATAATTTAAAAGAAAAAAAATAATCGGTAAAATAAGAAGAAAAATAATAATAAGTACAGTTCTATATATCTCGTTTGCGTCAATATTAACAAACAAATACTAGATCTCCAGACCCTTTGGTATTAGTTAAAAAAACATTATTGATAAAATAAGAAAAAATTGCCATCATTCGAAATGGAACGAAAAATATTGTATCATTAAATCATTAATGCAATTTAGTAAAAAAAAAAAAGTACATAAAAAAATTTACTACCATTATAAAAAATAAACTTTATCATATTTTAAAAAATGAGACTCGATTTTTATAATTTAATAGCGACAGCATAAAAAAATTAGTCATATAGGCTTGCGGTTTCTCTGGAAAATATAATACCAAAATATGATGGATTGGTTAAGGTTAAATTGAAAACTCTTACATAGATAATTTTTCACCATCAGGCGCTAAAATTGAGGAATTGTTTAGTAAAGTAATATTGATACTAATAGTGCTTTATACTTGGAAGTAAAAAAGATCAAATATCGATCCTATACGAATTAAGTTTCAATATTTTTATAGGAAAATTTGAATAAAAAATTAACATTTTTATTTAATCGTACATTTTTACACGCTCTTTTTTAAATAGAAGATATTTCTGAAATAATTTTATAGATATAAAAATTAAGCAGGGGGTTTTATCAATTTTTAAAATTTAAATATTCGTCTAGACATCAATAATTAATATTATACAAATGCAGTTTCATCTAATCATATTTTCCAAGGGATGGGGGTAGGATTCAGCCCTAAACTTCCTCTCCTTGTTTATGCCACTGCACACATAAACTAAAATTTTAATATTATCTTTTCTAGACTAATTAGATTAAAACCAGAGATCTGCAAACCCCAACTCGTTTGAGCCAGGCCCATGCCCATTTTAAAAAAAATCTATTCATGCTTGGTCGCGCCTAATATTTTTTATTCTGGCTGGGCCTGGTATGGCTTAAATTTTAAAATTCTGTTAAGAAACAATGTGCTAATATTATTTATTTGTAGAATATTTTTTATACAATCAAAAAATATTGAATTTTTCTATATTTAAATAATTCTTTGCTAAATTATTGCCCAACATAAGTGCTTAAATGTTCCATAATTAAATTTAGAAAAATATTAATTGATTTATCATTTAGATAAATAATTATTACATAAAAAGTTTCAAGTGCATTCATATTATGATTATCATTGGCTTTCAAATTTTGATATGGTTGATCAAGTTGATTTTCCAAATTAATAAACCTGTCCTTTAACCCTTCAATACTCCGGTGAAAAAAATGACGTTAGTACTCGGGTGGGGTTCAATAGACCCCAATTTCAAATGTATATGTCTACAGTTATATTCATAGACCCCAATTTCAAATGTATATGTCTACAGTTATATTCATTATTTTTATTTAATATTTGGATATAAGATAGAACTAACCTTAAACTTGATAAAATATTTATTTATTTTTATTTCTTAAGCTTAGATTAAAGATGATGAGGATAATTATAATTTGTGCCAAAATTTTCTAAAAAAAGCTTACTTTTTTTAAATTTCAAATATAATTAAAAAAATAACTTATCTATCATACAACCATGATAATTCATAATATGGATCTTTATTCTTCAATATAAAAAAAAAAAATTACACTAAAATATTCAAACATAAAAAAAATATAGAACATTGAAATATGTTAATTTGACATGTAAAACATTTATTACATAAAATTTTAATGTGTTCTAAACATAAATTTATTTTACATATTTGATAAAAAAAATTGCTTTTTTTTTTATTTTGATCGTTAGATTTAAAAATTTCAGCTAAATAAAGATTTCCCAGTAATGTCTTGAACTGTGTTACATCAACTTCTTTGGTAAAACCTTCATATTGGTCATTATAGTTTTTACATATAATTTTAATTTTTTCATTGGTATGATAAATAATCTCTATAATCATTTTTGGTGTTATCAACAAGTCAAAACATTTTTCTGGAGTGTCAGCTTCTTTCCCTTATTCTTTTACTCCTGGCAGATGAATAACTAAATTTTGTTGATGAGTTATTATTCTTTGATTAGAAGATTCTCTTTCCATTTAGTAAGCTTATTTTTTTAGCTAATTTTAAAGAGAAATATACTATGATAAATGATTTCATATTTACCTAAATTATATTAAGTTTATTGTGTTCAACTAACATTTCTTCTTCATCTAATTCAGATTGTGTATCAGATCACTATCATATATAAAATCTTCAACCTCACTATTGATTATATTGTCATAATCACCTCAAATAAATAAATAATTTATATTTAGTTTCAGTATCTGCAAAAATCATTATAAATGATAAAAATAATTTAAGAAATGAATCAGCTGGTGAAAAATATAATAACTCCATCAGAGAAAATCTATACATTTTCTTTTTCATATATCTCATTCAAAATATAAGATATTTAAATTTTGTTTTAATAAATTTTATAATATAGTAATATATATTTATAATTTTAAAAAAAAATTTCTTAAAAAATTACAAATTTACTCTGGTGGGGTCTCACAAACCCCAATCAGTAACAAAATGCTCTTAAAAACTACTCAATCAAAATATATGAAATTTGGAATATAGATTCTACGATATATTTGATGAAGCTAATAAAATCTAGATCATAATATTTAACGATTTTTATGTAATATCATTTCCAGTATGCCTGGGGTTTCATATACCCCACCAGAGTATTGAAGGGTTAACAGCTTATTTTGTGCCTGATTAATATAAACCAGTTGAACTTTTACCTAATTGGATCATTGCTGCAATCATATTTGTCTTTGTAATATGAATGAAATCTCTATTAAAAAATCTTAATTTTTTTCATCCATTCCATTTCTAATAAAGTAAATTGTATAAAAAGTTTCAATTTTGTTCATTCATATTATGATTATCATTGGCTTTCAAATCTTGAAGTTAGTTTTCCAAATGAGTAATAAACCTGTTCTTTAATAGCTTATTTTGCTCCTTATAAACCAGTCGAACTTTTACCTAATTGGATCATTTCGGTTATATTTGTCTTTGTAATATAAATGAAATCCTATGTAAGAAACCTTAATTTTTTTTCATTCATTCCATTTTAATAAGGTAAAATACTTCAAGGAAAAGATATAGGGTTTAATTTACATCACAATTTTCTTTTGGCACTTCAATAATAGTAATTTCTTCAAGATTTTTATCTTCATTAATTACAGACATTGATAAATTTAAAAATTATTTATTTCTTGATTAAAATTTAAATAAAAATAGCAAATAATGGTTTCTAAAAATGCAGATAAATTTTTCTATTTATTTTAATAATTAATTTTAAAATAAAAAATAAATTTTTAAATGCATTAAAGAATTTTTCAGTAACAAAAAACCAAATAAAATCAATTACAATATTCATTTTTTAAAAATCATTTACCTAGACAATTTGAGGTTCAAAATCCCAGGCCTTTAACAACTATGACTACAATATATTTATATATTACATTTATTTTCATTAAAAATAATATCTTATATAATTATTTTTCATCTCTTAAAAAAATTCAGTATAATTACAAACATGTTCTTAATATAATTGCCATTATTTTATGTAAGTTTTATACCACAATAAAGAGCTAAAAAAAGTTAATCCATACCTATAAGAATATTAGATATAATTATAAAATTTATCAAACCAAGTAATCACATATGATAAATGTTCATTGCGTAAAGTTACAAGAGTTTGACCTCCAATAGGATTTGGATTTGAACTTGCATTAGTTTGAGAGACCCCTAAAAAAATATACATTACATATTAATCTAGATCAAATTACCATCAAAATCTAAATCTACAAAAATTGGTTGAGCATTTAATAATTTTGCCATGTATGTATCTCTTTTATGAAAAAGGGTGGGTAGTTTATTTTTATTTTTTTCAGATGAAACTTCTGGATTCCTTAATAAACCTGTTATAGTAATATAGTTATCAGTTGTAGAGTTTTCAAATTGAATTTTATTCATGTATTCTGATGGTATCCAACCTCTATCTACAAGTATAGAAGTGCTTAGATTATTAAATGATTTTAGGATATTATGTATTAATCAAAAACTTAGCATTATTTTTCAAGGAAAATGCTTGTATAAGATGGTAACCAACTTTTGATGAAGAACTAAGTAATGAACCACTATAATCTTGTTGATAAATTTTTTTAGGATCTTTATAAATCCTTGGGCCCAAGTATAATAGCTTATCTGATATAAATTTACCCTCGCATTTTACATGTGTATACTCTGGATATTTATATGTTTCTGATATTCTACACATTTTTTTACAAATTGAATTCTAAGAATATATACATTTTTTCAAATTCAATTGGTTCCCTTTTAACGCGTTTATTTAAATCTTGTATCAATCCTAATTTCCATTTTCTTCTTCTTATTTGCCAACATCCCAACCCAAACGCTGTAATAGGCACCGTCTAAATGAAAAAGTATATAGAATCAAACATTTTTAATAAATACTAGCAGTAAATAAGGTTTGATATTTAAACTCTTAGCTGGCTTAGCACTTATTTTTGTGTATATACCGCGATTAAATGTTTGATAATTATTTTTTAAAAACATTTTCAGGCCTAATTATAATAAGAGTTGTCACATGTCAGGTGATAGATTCTAAATTATGACCTATTAATTTAATGTAGTATAATCTCATTGAGTATATAGTTTAATAGATATAAACTGAATTTAATGCTTTCTGAAATAAAGCATAAGACGTTATATCATAGTTTTTATCCAGCTTATAACTAAGTTACCTTAAATTTTTGGTATATATTTAGAAATTACTTTAGACTTTTTATTTTGTTTATAAAACGGTTTATTTCATGTGGTTCGCAAAACTGATTAATTAATACACTAAATATCAAAATACACCAGATATTTTAACTTATATTCTCAATTCTAGCATGGCATCCATTTAGCTAGGTTGTTAATCGGCTTAGCCGAGTCGGCTCGAACAGAGCTGACCCAAATTTTGGGTCGTTTTTTTCGACCTCGACCTGAGTTTAAGCAGAAAAAAACGACCTCGACCCAAAATATGGGTCGTTTTTTCCGACCTCGACCCGAGTTCAAGTGGAAAAAAACGACCTCGACTCAAAATATGGGTCGTATTTTTCGACTCAGACTTAAAGTTTGGGTCGTTTTTTTCGACTCAGACTTGAAGCTTGGTTGTTTTTTTCGACTCAGACTTGAAACTTGGTTGTTTTTTTCGACTCAGACTTGAAGTTTATTTTTTTAAAGCCAATGTGTAAAAATATATTTTGCAAACATGTTAAATTAAAATTTCATTGAAGATGTACCTTAGGAAAGGACAATTGTCTTAATCGTCATTTTTGAACTTTTTTCAATTTTTTTAAGGCAAATGGGTTAAAAATATATTTTGTAAACATGTTAAATTTAAATTTCAGTGAAGATGTACCATAGGAAAGTGACAATTGTCATAATCGTCATTTTTGAACTTTTTTGAATTTTTTTAAGGCAAATGGGTAAAAATATATTTTATTTTAACCAAAATTTTAGGATTTTACCAATGTAATATACTTTACATAACGAGATTGTTAAATTTTCTTTTAAAATTATTTCACATTACATAAAAACATTTCTAATTTCCTTTATGTAGTTTTTATTATAAGGTAACGATATACTTAATAATTTTAATTAACATTTTTAACAGTTATAAACTAAAAAGATAAAATTCTCAAATTATTTTTTAAAAAAAAAATTTATTTGGGGGGGGGGGAGATAAGGGGAGATCTTCCACTTTTAAATAGGAATCTAGCAACCCTTGTTAATACAACACTATTTTATATATAAAGAAAGATATACGTAATAATTATCAATGTTGCATCATTTCATTAACAATTAATTATTCATATTTGCATATATATTACAAAATAATATATATATTACAAAATAATATATATATTACAAAATAATATATATATTACAAAATAATATATATATTACAAAATAATATATATATTACAAAATAATATATATATTACAAAATTACAAAATAATATATTTAATACAAAATAAGAAAAACGACACGGAAAATATGTGATATAAATGGGGATCTTAAATATAATTCGAAATATGGTTCAGTAATTAATTATGAAAAAATGAAGATAAAATGCCCCTTCTGTAGAATACCAATAGTGACACAAACTAGAAATCAGCCAATAAGTAATTTTTTATTTCTATCTTGTTTGTGCTTTCCTTTTAGTCTTTGCCCGCTCCCAGTTTGTTGTCCTCTTAGCAACGACAAATCTAAAGTTGAACATTACTGCCCTCATTGTGGACAGTGTCTACATGGCCGGGGGGGTAGGAGACAAATGCCTCCAAAAAATATTGGCATTTTGGGGGGTAGGTATTAATTTTGGGGGGTAGATATTGATTTTTGGGGGGTAGGCATTTGTTTTTGGGGGGTAGGTATTGATTTTTGGAGGGTAATTTTTGACTTGTATTATGATATTTTTAAATCCAATAATCGATATGATTATCGTTGATTTTCTGAAAAATGTCAATTAAAGAAAAGATATCTGTCAATTTATAAATATTATACACTATATTTATTTTTTTAAATTTTTAGAAAATTCATTTACATAATGGGATTTAGATTTTCACAGTATCAATTTTAAATTATCAATATATATTTTTTTATAATAAGGACCTTTTGAATAAAGAATCCCTTTTATGATAAGATAATCCTACTCAATTAACAATATAAAGAAACATTTTTGGATTTTAAAAAGGTAATTTTTTAAGCATATAATTGCATTTTCCTTAATTTGATGATAGATAAATAAATATAATAAAGAATGAAGCTATTTTTATTTAATCTTAATATGTATACTTAATAAGTTATCTGGGTTTTGAACCATGGCAATTATTTTTGCTAATAATTTTTTAAATAATCATTTTCAATGGGGTAAATATTACCACATTTTTGTGAGGCAATCAGGTTGGACCCATAATTGATTTCTATTTATGATAAATGATTCTTTGAGGTAAGTGTAAATTATATACAAAATTATAAGTGAGAGGTGAAAACCATTGTGTGATAAAAAATTTGTTAAAAGAATTGATAAATTTTTTATTTCATTATTAGATAAATTTTATATAACATCAAATTTTCCATAATATATTTGGCCTTTTTTCTAAATATTTATAGAAATCTTGGGAGAATGAACAGATAATCTATTCCTCTCATTTGATTATTGATTTAAGAAAAGATTTCAATTAAATGAATTGACAAAGTGATTCCATATACTGAAATATTGTTTATTTTTGTTAACAATAAATTAAATTTTTGGATATGGCTTGGGAATAATCTTTGAAACCTATGATGTGGTTTGGGTTTGGATTTCCATTAAACATGAACTGGGCCTGAAAATTATTTTTACTTATGACCTAGGCTGGATGAAGAAATCAATGCCAGTGAAGGTCTCTAATTTCAATGATTAAAATATATCATTTCTCAGACTTTATTTGAAGATAAATGAATGGGCAAATCACAAATATGCCTGTTTTCAATTATTTGCAAAATTTATTAGGATTGTTAATTTAAAGAAACTATGATTTCAAAGCATCATACATTTCTAAAAATTGTTGGACACTAAGAAATAAAGAAATCAATTGTGAAGTGTATAATGGAGGAAATATTGATCCATGATTGTTTTGGCATAAATAACAAAAAATATTATATTTTTTGTGACCATGCATTAAGCTTACATATAATATAATAGGAATCTTTTAAGAAAACATTATCAAAAATATAAGTTAATAGCTGATAGTCCATTATGAATGACTGGTAATCAGAATTTTCTTCTTTATTCAATGATGGGTGCATAATAAATTTCCTTTATATGATGATGATTGAATCAGTAAATTTTTCATTATTTTTATAAAATATGTTAATAGAGTGTATATTTATGAATTTTAATTTAAAAACAATAAGGGTCTAGAATATATTTTTTTGATTATAAATTACAAATACAAATGAATAAGAATTTATTTTAAAAGATTTTAATATATTTTTTAGATTAAAAATATAATACAAATGAATAAAAATTTATTGTGCACATATATTAAAATATCTAAATATATATTTCTTTAATATATTTTGTAAAACCACTGGAAAATTTTAAAATTACACCCTCATTTAAACAAATATAAATTTAATTTCTGAATCACACCTCATAAGATAGGAGAATTTTAAGATTCAGCCATCCACCGTCAAATAAAGGATAAAATTATGATTCTCCATCATTCTTGATGGCCATCAGTGAGTAAAAAAATATTATCTAAATATTTATTTCATTTTTATTCTAGATGCCAAGTAACAAAACAATATATAAAGTCAAATGTGACTATATTAATTGTAAAACTTCTAAAATAAGAAGTGACAAAATAAATAACCATTATAAACATAAACATCCTCATGTCAAGTTATCTGATATCAAATTTACAAAGATAGCTATCAAAAAGGATAATAATTGGGTATCCTTAAATAAAGATATTCCATTCAATATCACAAATGGGGTTGAAACCAAGTTACAAAAAAAATCAATAACATCTTACTTCCAAAAAGTAATTTTTTATATATATTATTTTAATTCATGACAATAAATATAAGTAAAAATAACCTTAAATTTTGTGAATTAGTAGAAACCAATTCTTCATCTATAATTTGAGCATAATACTTTTAATTTTTATTAAAGATAAGATTTTTAATATATAGGTACATTTTTATTATGCCCTTTATCAATTTTGAAGGAAATAAATTATAAGAATATTTAAATATTTCAACTTTTGTTAAAAAAAAATTTATATATTATAATTAAGAATAAAATAAGTCATTTGCCTAAAATTTTCACTACTCTTTATTTAATAATTAGCACAAATCTTTTATTGAAGATTCCCAAATTATATTATCTCATACAATGCCCAGTTCCAGTGATCTGCTGATTTTGAATAATGAGGTACTTAATTTAAATAAGATTTGTTTTATAATTTTGAAGGGAATAAATGAGGATATTCAGATATTTTCATGAACAAATTTTAATTAATCTTTATTTAATAATTAGCTCAAATCTTTTACTGAAGATTCCCAAATTATATTATCTCATACAATGCCCAGTTCCAGTGATCTGGTGATTTTGAATGATGAGGTACTTAATTTAAATAAGATTTGTTTGATAATTCTGAAGTGAATAAATTATGAAATATTTTCCACTTTTCTATATCTTAATTAAGAATAAAATTTTTATTAAAATTAAGATTTTCATAAGTAAACAAATTTTAACCACTCTTTATTTAATAATTAGCATGAATCTTTTATTGAAGATTCCCAAATTATATTATCTTCTCATACAATGCCCAGTTCCAGTGATCTGCTGATTTTGAATAATGAGGTACTTAATTTAAATAAGATTTCTTTTATAATTTTGAAGGGAATAAATGAGGATATTCAGATATTTTCATGAATAAACAAATTTTAATTATTCTTTATTTAATAAGTAGCACAAATCTTTTACTGAAGATTCCCAAATTATATTATCTCATACAATGCCCAGTTCCAGTGATCTGGTGATTTTGAATGATGA